GGTTGTCAGTCACTTTTTTATCAACAATAAGTGTATGTTTCTTTTAAAATTCAGTAAATAAATTTACTTCAACATCCGTAAATTGTAATATTTTAATGTCTATTTCAAGAATGTTGACGTTGAAATTCGGGGGTCAAGAAAGCAATGCCTTACCTCATATACCAGCTATAATCATTTGCAGAGTGAATAATAGAATAATCAAAACTTCAGCATTTGTTGCTGACATATTGTATATCATGTTACAAATCAAAAATCAAAACACCCAACCTTTTATCTGAATTCAATCACATCATGTACATGTCATCTGTCCGGACACATGGTACTGTGTGTAGACAATATAGGTAATTTTGATACCCTCCTTGACGAGCCTCAGATATAAGTGTCAATACAATCAGAAATAAACAAACTAGTTTGTTAGTTAGGAGAAGAACCTAGCTGAACTGTGTCAAATTTTATGGTCTCTAGGTTAAAAATTATGAAATCTGCACGGAAAAATGATCCAAAAGTGTCCGGTTGATGGTCTCCGACCAGTAAGGTGAAAAAAATTATGTTTTTGAAAATTATCAATATTCGTTTAATATCTATTGCAAATTATTTTAAAAAAATAAATTGATTATAAATTATAATGAAAATCAATAAAATTCAAACAGGCGTAGTGGAATCTTCCATAATAAATAAGGTTATTTTCTGCGTAAACTTGTGTATTTACTTTATTTTTTGTATGGAATTATTCAAACAATGATATTTAATTATTTTCTTAGAAAGAAATAACTGTTTTATTTCAGTTAAATTTAAAAAAAGGCCGAAAACATTGAGTTCGCTATTACACTCCATTAGGTGAATTCCCCAGAGCTATGTACAGAAAGTACCGGAAAACGGCGTTTAGCTAGGTTTTCGAATTCGTGAATTGACCTTTTCGAAAACCTAGCTAAACACCGTTTTCCGGTACGTTACCGTTTTAGCTCTGGGGAATTACACCATATGAAGAACATAGCACAGTTACGAGATATGTCTATTTTTCTAACATTATTTAACCGTTTAAGGTGAAAAAAATTATGTTTTTGAAAATTATCAATATTCGTTTAATATCTATTGCAAATTATTTTAAAAAAATAAATTGTTTATAAATTATAATGAAAATCAATAAAATTCAAACAGGCGTAGTGAAATCTTCCATAATAAATAAGGTTATTTTCTGTGTAAACTTGTGTATTTACTTTATTTTTTGTATGGAATTATTCATACAATGATATTTAATTATTTTCTTATATAAAAATAACTGTTTTATTTCAGTTTTATTTTAAAAAAAAGGCCGAAAACATTGAGTTCGCTATTACACTCCATTAGGTGAATTCCCCAGAGCTATGTACAGAAAGTACCGGAAAACTGCGTTTAGCTAGGTTTTCGAATTCGTGAATGGAGATAAACTCGGCCGAAAATCAGTGTTTTGGGGACATATTTCATTTATTTGTTTACGTATTCTGATGAATCTTGCACCATAAAAAAACAAACAAAAAAAACACTGATTTTCGGGGCATATTTCATTTATTTGCTTACGTATTCTGATGAATCTTGCACCATGACCGCCTCCGTGGTCGAGGGGTTAGAGTCGATGATTTCTAATCCAGTGACCTTCTCTGGCGTGGGTTCGATCCCCGGGAGATGATTTGGTAGTTTAGCGTGGAGGAAGGTAGTCTAGTACTGGTGTTACTCTCCAGGAACGATGGTTAGGAAAGTACCCGCCTATATGACTGAAATACTGTTGGAAAAAGGCGTAAAAAATGAAACAAAACAAACAATTGCACCATAATAAACTTCAGCGCTTCGATTTTCCGGTATCACCATAAAAGTTATATTTAGAAACATAACGGGTAATTTTGAGAGGCCCTGGAAGAGGTACGTAAAAACGATATTTTTAACGCGCGAGTAGATAATTCCGGCTCTTTGTTTTTCTTCTTAAATGATTAAGTTAAAACGTAAAATAACATGTTTAGACATTTTATTATTTCTTTGCTGTTCATTTATGTCAAATAAAAAATATTTGTTACCAAAATTGTTGAGCATAATCATTACGTTAGTATATGAATATCTATGATAACACGATATTTATATGCAACGTACTATGTAACATATAAATCATTTTTACATAAAAACACATGCATTATCATTTATTAACGTATAATGAAATATGTAGTTAAAGAATAAATGATTCAAATTCATTTTTGCTTAGCTTTGCAGAGTGAAGAAGAAATTAATTTAGTGGTATTCAACCTACACAATAACATATAAAAGGAGCGTTTAACACCAGTCTTTCAATCCATTCCACTTAAAGATTACAATTGTGTAATATAAATAAGCCTTTTTTCTGAGTTAGCAAGACAAAAGTGAGTCTGAATTTCATCTACAAAATGTATACGTAAACGTCGTCTGCTTTACCGGTAGTCGGTCAATATATAAAAGTACCCCTGTGCGGGCCTCAAAATGAGCATCTGCTGCACATACGCACAACAATGGGATTGCCGTACTTTTTATAGGCATGTTTTGTAAACAAACCGGTAAAAGTCTGTGTTATTTTTTAAATATCTTACCAAACTTGACAAAATTTCCAGATATTGTCGAATTCCAGCGACAGTATATGATGGTGAGCTTGATAAGATTAAAAATTCCAATAACTCAATTTAACATGGTTTAATGGTGGCATTGCAAAAAAAATGTTTCTTGATTGCTTAAAAACTTTTAAAGAAATTCATGTTTGAAATTTGTATTTATTTCTGTGAATTATTTCCAAATGATTTGTATATTTTTATTTGATTACCTGTGTATTAGTATATATATATAGTAAATATTCTACTAATTAGTGTATTAAATATATTTTGAGATCATTCTAGACAAGCATTCATATATAGATTGACAGGAAGAAACTTTTATTGGCATACAGAACAGCTGGTTTATATTATTTTTTATTTTAAAACAGATTTTTTCATAGTTATCCTTCACAACTAACGTCAAATGATTTATTTGTCACATGTTTATTTTCATTATTTTTCAAAGAAAGGACTATACAAATTTAGTTGTATATTTTCAATTTCATTTATAAATGTTAATAAAAAAATAGATTTACATTGTATTTATATATATATCCTCTTCAGAATCATTTTCTTACCACACATACCATTGACTGTCTACTTCACTGCACCAACATTAAAAAACAGATTTACAAAAAATAATAATGATATAAATGATAAATGAAATTTAAATATTCTATGAATGTGACAAAATTGACAATCTCGGCAATATTTTGTACTAAAAAAATGAATAAATTTTCTTCAGGTGTTGAGCGAATTGTAAAGGCAGCAATACATTACCCGTAAAACAATTGTGCATTAATAAATTTTACTACATAACCCAATAATTCTTAAATATTGCATCTTTGACCATCTGTGAATAACTTACATCGGCTTTTTTAGCTCGACTATTCGAAGAATATGAGAGCTATTGTAGTCGCCCTGGCGTCAGCGTCCGCGTCGGCGTCTGCGTTAGTTAAAGTTTTTTGTAAAGTCAAATATCTCAATTATTGCTTGAGATATTCAATTGAAACTTACACTACTTATTTATAGTAACAAGGTACATCAGATTGACAAGTTGGATAACTCTGCCTACAATATTGACATAATTATGCCCCTTTGGAACTTAGAAATTTTGGTTAAAGTTTTTTTGTAAAGTCAAATATCTCAATTATTGCTTGAGATATTCAATTTAAATTTAAAATACTTTTTTATAGTAACAATGTACATCAGTTTGCAAAATTGCATAACTCTGCCTGCAATATTTGCAGAATTATTTGCCCCTTTGAAACTTAGAAATTTTGGTTAAAGGTTAAAGGTCTTCAAAGATATTTACTTGAAACTTTAAACATGCACTTAGGGTCATAATTGGAGGGTCATAATTGTATGTCACTGACCAAGTTCCATAACTCTATCTTGCAATAAGGCTGATTCATATCCCCCTTTCTACTTAGTCTCTTGGTTAATGTTTACATGCAAGTTTTACATATCTCAATAACTATTAAAGATATTTATTTAAAACTTCACATATGCATTTAGGGTCATAATTGTAGGTCACTGACAAAGATCCATAATTCTATCTTGCATTTATGCTGATTTTTCTCCCCTTTTTCAACTTAGAAATTCATGGTAAAGTTTTGCTTGTAAGCTGTTATCTCAATAACTACTGAAGGGTTTGTGCCTTTTTTGGGACAATTTTATGCATTCATAATAATAAAGCAGTGATTTACTTGATAAAACATCTCAATAACAAGCCTTTGTACCTTTTCTGTCAAATTTATGTACATGTATTCATAGGTAATTAGTATTATTATACTCAATAAAACACCCTTGTGACATTACCTTCCAAATAGTCAAGCAAACACTGTATAATTAGACTCTCTCTAAGGCCTATAACATGAATTTATAAAAAAAAATTAGCCCTTTTGTGAACTTAAAAAATTCAACATTATCAAGGCTCTTTTACTATCAAGCACTTAGAATAGTCGAGCGTGCTGTCCTACTGACAGCTCTTGTTTTATTTTGAAATTGAATTTATTATGTTACCGTAATAATAAATATCAAATACCTGCTTTTATATATAAAATGTAAATTTACCGTGGATGTCGTCAAGTTAATTTTTTAATCTTCGTTGCGGACAGAAAAACTGTACCTATAAAAAATAAATTAGATATTTGAATTAAACAAGTATTTTTCTTCAAAATAAACTTAAATTTCCAAAATCGGATAATAAATGGAAAAGCTGTATGGGATTTTGTAAAGTAGGTATCCGTTGCAAACCGTGAAACGGGCATTTACGCTTAACGCCGGTAAATTATCAATCGATGTACCTTTATCGGGTGCGAGACAAGATATTTAAGCATTTATATAGGGTTAACTGGGAGTGTCCGATCCCTGTAATATAAATATCCCTGTAATATAAATCCGTGATTAGACTAATTATACCCCCACCACAAAATGTGGGGGGGGCTATAATGGATTCGCTTTGTCGCGTCGGTCGGTCGGTCCGTCCGTCGGTCGGTCCGTCCGTCTCCATTTTCGTGTCCGCTCTATAACTCCTATACCAATTGAAGGATTTTCTTCAAACTTGGCTCAAATGTTCATCTCAACAAGGGGATGTGCAGAACCCATGTTGCCCATGTGTCAGCTCAAGGTCAAGGTCACAATTCAAGGTCAAATATCAAACACTATCAAATATTACACAGTATGTCGTGTCCGCTCTGTAAGTCCTACACTACTTGAAAGATTTTCTTCAAACTTGGCTCAAATGTTCACCTCAACCAGGGGATGTGCAGAACCCATGTCGCCCATGTGTCAGCTCAAGGTCAAGGTCACAATTGAAGGTCAATTATCAAACAATTAAGTATTACACAGTATGTCGTGTCCGCTCTGTAAGTCCTACACTACTTGAAAGATTTACTTCAAACTTGGCTCAAATATTCCCCTCAACAAGGGGATGTGCAGAACCCATGTTGCCCATGTGTCAGCTCAATGACAAGGTCACAATTGAAGGTCAAATATCAAACGATTAAATATTACACAGTATGTCGTGTCAGCTCTGTAAGTCCTACACTACTTGAAAGATTTTCTTTAAAGTTGGCTCAAATGTTCACCTCAACAAGGGGATGTGCAGAACCCATGTTGCCCATGTGCCAGCTCAAGGTCAAGGTCATAATTGAAGGTCAAATATCAAACAATCAAATATTACACAGTATGTTGTGTCCGCTCTATAAGTCCTTCACTAATTGAAAGATTTTCTTCAAACTTGGCTCAAATGTTCACCTCAACAAGGGGATGTGCAGAACCCATGTTGCCCATGTGTCAGCTCAAGGTCAAGGTCACAATTGAAGGTCAAATATCAAACAATCTAATATTACACATTATGTCATGTCTGCTCTGTAAGTCCAACACTACTTGAAAGATCTTGGCTCAAATGTTCATCTCAACAAGGGGATGTGCAGAACTTATGTCACTCTTTTGCTGGCTTAAGGTCAAGGTCACACTTGAAGGTCAAAACTTGACTTAGAAAAAATTCTTAAATTTTAACAGTTATTTGAATATTCTAAATATAGAAAAGGTATTTGCTTGATACTTAAAATATTTTTGAAGGGTCACAAATACGATATGCTGTTCAAGTTTCATAACTCTGTATTGCATTTAAACAAAGTTATGCCCCTTTTTAAGTCTTCAAATTTACATACAATCAAATATTAGACAATATGTTGTGTCCGCTCTATAAATCCTATACCAATGGAAGAATTTCCTTCAAACTTTACTCAAATGTTCACCTCAACAAGGTTATGTGCAGAATCCATGTCACCTTTGTACCGGCTAAAGGTCAAGGTCACACTTGAAGGTCAGAAATTGACTTAGAAAATGTTCTTAAATTTTAACATGTACTTGAATAATTCTGAAACTAGCTCAGGCATTTGCTTGAAACTTAAAAGATATATGAGATGTGGCAAATAAGATATGCAGGTCAAGTTTCATTACTCTGTATTGCATTTTGACAAAGTTATCCCCTTTTTAAGTCTTCAAATTTACATACAACCAATACTAGACAATATATTGTGTCTACTCTATAAATTCTATACTGATGGAAGGATTTTCTTCAAACTTTACTCAAATGTTCACCCAAAATGGGTGATGTGCAAAACCCATCTTACCCTTGTGCCAGATTAAGGTCAAGGCCACACTTGAAGGTCAAAAATTGACTTATAAATAAAATGTTTAATGCATTGGGAAAATGAAAGGTTATTTGTAACTGTTTCGAACAGTTTTGATAATATATATTTATACTATTACCTGTACAATTAGTCTTTTTTTCACCAGAGATAATTTCTTTTTATGTATTTGTGCCACATAAATTATTCCCTTAACCACCTTTCCAAGTGGTCTTCTGTCAAGGACATTGGTGGGGGTATGAATCGCATTCAGCGATAGTTCTAGTTTGAAATGGCAACACCAATTTATTAAGCATTTGTAAATCATGTGTGTTCTCTGAAATCATAATGCATGAGTAGTTGTGCACCTGGGTATGTTTATGTGGATATTTTTAGTATTTTAGAGTTATTGCCCCTGACTTAGATTTTTTTTTGCAATTTTCAACTTGTGTCGCATATTTGTAACTCAAAAAGGATTTGACACATGTAACTCAAAAAGGATTTGACAAAGAGTCATGAAACCTAAAAAGGCAATGTTGCTCAGCATATGTAATTGTGCACCTTGGGTTTATCCAGTATTTGTAGAGTTATTGCCCTTGACTAAGTAAAAACTGTTTCATTATGTTGTGTTATTTGTTCCTTGAGTGCTTGAGTTAGAATCAACCAACTTTACAGGATTAATGATCAACATCACTAAATTACAGGAATAATGATCAACATCACTGTGAAGCTATACACCTGGGACTTTGAATGTGGATTTTTTCAGTTTTGTTATTGCCCTTGACTTACAGTAGTATAAATTTGTTAAGATTTCAATTTATTTGGGAAGATTTTGATTGTGTTATTATGCAAATACTCATCTTGTCTGAAACTCTTCAGACATACATGTCTGACATTTGGACATGTCCCAATGTGGCCAAATTAATATCTAAAGTTATGTGAGAACCATTTCTAACAACGAATCTCAAATGACCAATCTAGGGCCAACATGGCCCTCTAGTGAGAGTAGCAATGCCTTCATTGTAAGTCAAAGTTCATGTTCCCTTAACTGGGGCCAGCTTTCCAGGCATACAAGTGTTTGTGTTCAGTCATAGTTAATGTTGGTTTTCCTTGGTTTCATACAAATTGTAGTTAAAAATATTTCTTTTTTTCCAGAAATCAAGATGGCACATGAGACACATTTAAAGAAGAATAAGTACCGGCAGTGGGTTAAGGCAGGCCTAGGCTTGGGTTATCTTAAAGAGGGACTTGCACCATTTTGTGATGGCATAGGAAGACAGCAGCACAACTATATTATAAACCAAATACAACAAACAAAGACTCCTCAACCAAATGTACCGTGTGGAGTCTGTCAGATAACAACTCTCCAGCCAGACCATGTTAGAGTCTCAAAAGGGATATGTCCCCTCAAGCAAGATAAATGTAACTGTTGCTTTCCAAATAATAAGAAACCATGTCCAAACAATGTATGTGGTGCCATCTATGACAGCATTATACAGAATCATGCGTCAATACCACCGGCACCTTTTTGGAAAAACAGTGATGTCCAACAGTGGTCAACAGACCCGTGGAGTATTAGTAAATGTTTTATTAATGCTCCTGGGTACAAGGACAAACCATCAGCAGTCGATACCGACTGCACAGGGTTGCTTCATGTTATCATAAATAACACATATTTTCATAGTCATATTGGATGCAATATTACAGGACCAAACAATCTTTTTTCAAAGGTAAATACATTTGTACCAGGAATGTCCGGAAAGTTCATATACTTTTTCATTTTTTTGAAAAAGGCGACATATAGGGGTTACTTTTGTTCGGTGGTGTCAGCGTCGGCCTTGGTGTCGGCGGCAGCGTCGGCCCCTAAGGCTTGTCTGGAGCATAACTCAGTCACTATAAGTCGGATTTACTCCAAACTTGGTAAGCATGCTTCTTTCAATGACTCAAAGTGCAGTGCTCAAGAATCTCTACCCTCGGCTCCGCATCTTAATTTTTGAGTAATTGCCCTTTGTTTATTTTCATACTTTATTTTTGTCCGGGCCATTTATCTTAAACAATAAAAGCTATGGACTTGAAACTTCATAGGATGATAAATCTCATTAAGAAGAAGTGCAGTACACAAGAACCGGTACTCTGCACTTCTTATTTTTTGAGTTATTGTCCTTTGTTAATTTTCATACTTTATTTTTGTCCGGGCCATTCCTCCTAAACTAATTATAAGCTATGGACTTAAAACTTCATAGGATGATAGATATTACGGTGCTCCGTCTTTGAATTTGGCGTCATTTTTGCAGCACAAAACTTACACACCTTCATTGCCTATAATTGTCGTTAACAAGCTGTTTATTTGTGTATGACATCATAATTTTCACTAAATATCGTGCAATAGTATCCTTTGATGTCACAAAATTGAAACAAGAGGTTGCATTAAAATTAAAACTTTAGCAACTTATTATTCGAGTAGCTATCCTCATGAAATCAAAGTGCTCAGTGATTTGTCGATCATGTTGCCATGGTGATTGGCGCTTTGCAAAAATTACTTTTATCATGTTTTTTAATTCATAAGTATGTAGCAGAATAAATACTTAAACCAAATATTCAATCATGACATATTGATATGACTGTTTATAATATTTTTATAGTCTTGTCTATGAACTTTCCGGACAACCCTCGTATACAGTATGTTTATTATGCCACCGCAGCATCTGCGATGCGGTGGCATATAGCCATTCACCTGTGTGTGTGTTTGTTTGTGTGTGTGTGTGTTATATAGATTATATAGTGAACTTAAAAAATCTTCTTGTGAAAAACCACTGGTCCAATTTAAACCAAACTTGGCAGGATTGATCCTTGGGTGAAGCGCTTCCAAAGTTGTTCAAAGAATTTCATTCCATGCAGAAATCTGGTTGCCATGGCAACCGAAAGGAATTATAAGAATAAATTTAAAAAATCTTCTTGTAAAGACCCAAAAGACCTAGAGCTTAGATATTTTGCATAAGGCATTGCCTGGTAGACCTCTACCAAGATTGTTCAAATTATAGCCCTGGGGTCAAAATCGGCCCCGCCCCAGGGGTCATTGATTTTCACTGTACATATAGTAAAAACTAAAAATACCTTCTTGTAAAGACCCAAATGGCCTAGAGCTTAGATATTTTGCATAAGGCATTGTCTGGTAGACCTCTACCCAGATTGTTCAAATTATAGCCCTGGGGTCAAAATGGGCCCCGCCCCGGGGGTCATTGATTTTCACTGTATGTACATATAGTAAAAACTTAAAATACCTTCTTGTAAAGACCCAAAAGGGCTAGAGCTTAGATATTTTGCATAAGGCATTGTCTGGTAGACCCTTACCAAGATTGTTCAAATTATAGCCCTGGGGTCAAAATCGGCCCCGCCCCAGGGGTCATTGATTTTCACTATATGTACATATAGTTAAAACTTAAAATACCTTCTTATAAGGACCCAAAGGGCCTAGAGCTTAGATATTTTGCATAAGGCATTGTCTGGTAGACCTCTACCCAGATTGTTCAAATTATAGCCCTTGGGTCAAAATCGACCCCGCCCCGGGGGTCATTGGTTATCCTTATATGTATATAGTAAAAACTTTTTAAAAAATCTTCTAGTAATTGACAAATGCTAGAGGTAAGATATTTTGCATGAAACATTGTGTAGTGAAACTCTAGCAAGATTGTTCAAGTTATAGCCCTTGGGTCAAAATTGGCCCCACCCCTCGGGGTCATTGATTTTCACTATGAACATAGAGTAATAAATTAAAAAATCTTCTTATCTGAAGGTACAAGGCTTAAAGCTTTGATATTTGGTATATAATATCATCTTTAGGTCCTCTACTAAAGTTGTTTTAATTATGCCCCTAGTGTTGAAATTGCCCTGCCCCAGAGCAATCTTCAATTGTATAGAAACAAAAATAAATATGTTCCTACACTACTATTTAGTGTTGTATTAATGCGGTGGCATAGCATTTTTCTCAAATGCAATCTTGTTTTTAATTTTGTAGAATATTATACTGTATGATTTAGTCTGTTTATTATAAGTATAAAAGTATAAGAGATTATAGTTACTTTGCAGTTATTGGTTAACTTTTCTTTAATTTTTATGGGGATTAACCTATTACCGCACTAAGGTGAAATTATGCTCTATAACTATGAGGCTAATGCAGTTTTTATGCCCCCACAAAGTGGAAGCATATAGCGTTGCACTTGTCCGTCCGTACGTCTGTCCGTCCGTACGTCCTGAAATCTTGTGAACGCAACTCCTCTTAAACCGGAACTTTAACAGAATTATGGCCCTTTGTTGATTTTTTCGCTATATACTATATGTAGAAATTTTGTGAACGCAACCCCTCTTAAACCGGATGGCAGATTTTGCTTAAACTTCCAGGGATGAACAACCTTAATGTGTAGATGGTAGTAAAGGAAGGAATTTTTGCTGCGACCAAATTTAACAGAATTATGGCCCTTTGTTGATTTTTAGTTTTCAACTTGTGGCACATGTAGTCCAAAAAATATTTGACCTAGAGTCGTAAGATTGACAGAACAGTGGCGTGTGGGGGCATCCGTGTCCTATTGAAACATTTCTAGTTTTTGACAGAGAAACAGTTTGCAACAAATGAACAATGATTGTTATGCATAAAATTGTATTCACAAATTGTGATTGAAGTATTTTAAAGTAACTCTTTTAACGGTTTTAATTCTCAACTTAAGAATTGTGTTTAGTCTCATTGCTGAACACTGTATTTATGTGAATGTTGTATTATTTGTTTTCTGTATATTAGGTACGGCAATATCGAAATGAGATTTTTCACTCTAGCAATATGGAGTTAGAGGAGAGTAAGGCTAATTGTTATATTGATGACATGATAGCTGTTCTACAAGATGGTAAGGAGCTTGTACATCGACATGATGCACAACAAGCTGTTTGGAAACTCCAAGATGTAAGTGTATATAATAAACTTATCATATCAGTATGAAATCTTTATAAATTTCTGTTATAAAAATGTAAGATAAGCTCACCTCTAAATTCAGGATAAATTTAGGGAAAATAGAAACAGAAAATGTTGTAAAGTAAGATAAAGAAGAGACATTAATACAACACAGTCTGGTAGCTGGTTTTGAAAATCCATAGGATAAGAAGTTAAAGCAAAGGAACAGTTAAGATAAATATGCAAAAAAAGATCCCAACGTATACAGTGTGTCGTATAGAAGAGTAAAGTGATACTGTAAATCACAGAGCTGTATTTTGTCTATATAAAATGACACAAAATTGATTCTTTTTCATCAGTTGAAGAAGAAAGATTTCATTATTACTTCTGAAGGCTTTGAAAAAATTCTGAGAGAAATCAAAGACGAAATGTCAAAAGTTCGGAAATCAACAGAAAATTCTGCAACTAAAGAGGAATATGATGATCTAAAGAAGAAGCTAATAGAACTTGAAACCAAAATGTCTGACGAACAGAAGGGAAAACTGGAAAATGAAAAAGAAGTTGCAGAACTAAAGAAAACAATTACTGACCTGAAGAAGAAGCTAATAGAACTTGAAACCAAAATGTCCAAAGTAAACGACGAAAATCTTGAGAATGCAGAATTGAAAAAGAAACTTGGAGTTTTGGAGGCTCTTGTTTCAGAACAGAAAGAGGTAAAACAAATTTCCTCATGCTTATAAACTAAATGATGCATGTTACACCTGTATCTGCATCTTTGCATTAAAGAAGATAAAGATAGTATGTTAATTGTAAAGAATAAACTTTATAATTTAAGTTCTTGTGGCAAAAGTATTAAATCTTAGTATCTAGCCAATTAACTGGAAAGGCAACCAGATTCATTCCATGTACAATGGGTATGAAGTGTATATAGCTAATAATATCTGCTGCAAAAAATATTGTTTGAATTTTTATTTAACATAACATCATTCTTAAAGGTTTAATGTAAGCTGTGCAGGCTTATGGTGAAGGTCACACTTAAAGGTTAAATGTAAGCTTAGAAGATCACACTTAAAGAGTAAACGTTCTTGCTTATGGTGAAGGTCACACTTAAAGGTTTAATGTAAGCTGTGCAGGCTTATGGTGAAGGTCACACTTAAAGGTTAAATGTAAGCTTAGAAGATCACACTTAAAGAGTAAACGTTCTTGCTTATGGTGAAGGTCAGCTTAAAGGTTAAATAATAGCTGGGTTTCCTTATGGTGAAAGTCACACTTACAAGGTAAATCAGATAGCTATGCTTGCTCATTTTGAAGATCACTCTTATTAGTTAAATGTAAGCTGTACTTGCTCATGTTGAAGGTTTCCCTTAAAGGTTAAATGTAATCTCTAAAGGCTCATGTTGAAGGTCACACTTAAATGTTAAATGTTAGCTCTGAAGACTCATGTTGAAGGCCACACTTAAAGGTTTAATGTTAGCTGTACTTACTCATATTGAAGGTCACACTTAAAGGTTAAATGTAAGCTCTAAAGGCTCATGTTGAAGATCACACTTAAAGGTTAAATGTTACCTGTATTTACTCATGTTGAAGGTCACACTTAAAGGTTAAATGTAAGGTCTAAAGGCTACACACTTAAAGGTTAAATGTAAGCTGTACTTACTCATGTTGAAGATCACACTTAAAGATTAAATATTAGAATATATCATGTCTGCTATGTTAATTCTTACCCCTTGAAGGATTTTCTTCAATCTTTCATCAGTTTATACAATTCAGCACTGAGAAGCGTTGACCTTTTGTTATAGAATAAGGTATAGAACTATAAACTTTGATTATCATGTTGATAATTCGGCTTTAAATCTGTAACACTTAGAAACACAATCTGAGTGTTTAAACAAAATTATTCTTTCTCACCTGATGGCCTACTTAGCATAAGTGATTAAATGGGGCAATTATGGTGGTTATTATGCTAAAGTACATAGTTACATGTACAAAATCAAGTACATACTCTTATGAATTTATATTTACATCTTAATTATATATTGTTGATTATTTTTGTACTATAATTATTTTTGAGTAAAGAAGATGATTTGTTTTTGTAGGAGATGGCAAATATTAAGACAGAAACTTCCTCAGGTCAAAGTCAGGCAGAGTATGATCAAGCCAAGTTAGGTGAGTTAATATTTGTTTTGATGGTGTACATACATGTGTATGATAGTGCCATCAATATAAAAAACAAACAAAAAAAACAAGGCAATGTGCTGAAACCAATGTTAAGGTCACCCTGGGTCTATAAGTGTATTTTTACCCTTTTAAGATCTTGTCTTGAGGGAATCTTGTTATGTTTAAATTATTTGTAAGTTTTGCTGATTTTATTGATTGCTCAATAAATTTCAGGTTGTCGTACTCAATTGATAGAACATTATCGCAGTGATGTACTTAAAGTATCAGCAATACCTTTACAACCAGATGAGGAAAATTATAACTTCAGTGACGTTTATATAAGACCCACTTTAACAAGCAAGATAGAAAGGAGCAGAGGGGAGTCTGAGGAAAAAGAAATAAAGTCTATGTCAGAGATTTTCACAAAGAATGGGGATCCACAGAAATTTATTTACGTTGTTGGAGATGCAGGGTCTGGTAAGAGTAGTTTCTGTAAATATTTGATCAACTGTTGGTGTATGGCACACAGTGATGGACACAATGACGATGATGAATTTGATGGAGTCAAAGAAATGAAGAAATTTGATTTCATGTTTTATATTTCTCTTAGACATAATGTAAAGATCCGAAGTGTCCAAGAAATGCTTGAATTGCGATATGATAAGATAAAAAATTTAAGTAAACTTCTGGAAAATGATTCTGAAAAGATAATTATTTTGCTTGATGGTTTAGATGAATGGTCTTTTGACAGTGAGACTAGGAATGAGTTCCAGGCAGGCCTTCCTGAACGTGACTTTACAAAGAAATACACCATTGTTACTACATCACGGCCATGGAAAATTCACAGTTTAAGAGTAAGTAATAGAGAGATTCATCAATTATTGAAATTAAAAGGGTTTGATAAAACACATGAAAAAGAAATGATTAAGAAAACAATAACAGCATTGAACGAATCATTAAATCCAAATGTGTGTGAACAAAGGCTTAGGGTACCATCTCTGGTTGGCCTGAAACAGGTACCAATTATGCTGCAGCAATTAATATGTCTTTGGTGTGATGGTAAACTCGATAAAACATCAAGGTGTGCTATTTATACTGGTATGTTAGAACTTTATTTCACTTGGAATATCAATAAAACTTTATGCAATAATACAGAATGTATGGAAAGTTCACAGAATGTTGAACTCCCTCAGTATTTAACAGATGTAGAGATATGTAGATTAAATAGTAATCTTATATATGGTGTATCACGCTTGGCTTATCAGACACTGTTCAATTATCCAAAGGATATGTCCTTAACATTTGACAAATCTGTTTTTGATGATTTGAAAATATCACATGAAGTGCGTGAAAATTGTCTGAAACTGGGGATTTTGACAGAAGATAAATGTCCCTCTCTATCTGTATCCAAGCCTAAAAGCTCATTGTTCTCTTTCATTCACAAATCAATGCAAGAATTTCTGGCTGCAGTGAACATTGGTATTCATTTTAAGATAAGAATAAGTTTGTCAGATAGTACCCAAACAGAAAATGTTGATTTGCAAAGCCAGTGCATTCAGTTTGTTAATGAGGCTTTTCAGAAATGTTCAACAGTAAATGACATATTAGAGCAGTCAAATGTTGTCATTTTGCTATGTGGTCTAGAATCTAGATTAGCAACACATGTTTCAAAATACATATATGATACTGTGTCAAAAGACTCTTGTGTTCAGGAATACAGGAGAACAATAAATGGTAATATTGATAGGAACTTTGGTTGTATTACTGATATTCAAAAGCTTATGTTTGACTCAATGGAAGAATTAAATGCAACATGTAGTATAGGAAGTAATACTGTATTTTATATAGGAGATTTGGTCATTGATAGTTGGGATCAGTATTGTGATATTGTTTATACAGGTATTGATCAGAAACAAATTGCTCCTGATTCTGTTCTGTCTATTTATGTAGATGACATCAACACAAAAAATGTTAAATTTACAAAATATTTACCAATGTTTCATCATCTTGAAAAAATTGCAATAAGATATGAAACTGAATTACAAAGGTTATCACCGAGTAATAAACAGAGAATAATTGAGGTAAACAATTGTGTTTCTGAGACAATTAAAGTAAACACTTTAACATTAAAATCTCTGACTCTTGATGGTACCAATCACACTGACAAGCAGTATTACCCTGTGTTTAAAACAGCTGTAAGTTACCTACCTAGTATGATCAATCTTGTAGCAATAAGAATGAGTTATATAACAATGAGTCATGATGATACTACTACATTTTGTAATTTTCTTGAGAGAACCAGTCATCTTGAACAAATACATCTTGATTGTGTTAAATGTGAGTGTATGAAGCAGCATGATGTAAATTTATCAAAACATCAAAAACTTCAGTACCTTTATTTGTATGATACTGTTAGTGTGATAGATGCTGATGCTACAAACCTTGAAATATTTAAATTTGATAAATTGAAAATTAGTAATTATGATAAAATATTTGATATTATTAGAAAATCTAACAAATTAAAAAATCTTAAATTTTATGGAGAATATTACAATGAATCTCAATTATATCATACCAACATAACAAAGAGACTGGTTACAGTATTACCATTGTTACACAATCTCAGTGAGCTTGACTTACAGTCATGTAGGTTAACTGACAATATAATACAGTTACCTTTAGAGATGAATAGTTTAAAGCACATTGGACTTGTTCATGTCACAATGAGTTTGACAACATGGCGGAAGTTTGTTGATAGTCTTCCTATGTTTCCTCATACTGTAGATGTGGGTGTATGTTACGGTTATATAACAGGAGATGGTGAGGAGTTTGATGATGAACTTGATGGGTCAATATTGTCATTACAAGGACTTAACGGAGGGAAGGGAAATGATGCAGTACAGTATGTAAAAGATAAGGATCAGTTATTTCATGTTAAATATGATGATGATGATTGGTTTGTATTTTCAACAAAAAAGTGATATAGTATACATGAAGTTAACATACTGTTGGTGGACCACGAAAACCGGGCAACCACCAAACCCTGACAGCCCCGAAAATGCTTAATTAAAATATTTTTCTTTGTTCATTGGTTGTCGATCTATCAGTGACTTTATAACAACAATAAATGCATGTTTCTTCTATAATTAAGAAATTAGATTTATTTCAATGGTAATATTTTAATGTCTTTTCATTAAAAATTTGGGGGTTAAGAGTGCAATACTTGACCTCATATACCAGTTATAATCATTTGCAGAGTAAACAATAGAATATCCAAAACATCGGCATTTGCTGCTGAAATATTGTATATCATGTTAAAAATAAAAAATTGAAACACCCTAGCATTTAAATGAATTAAATCACATCATGTACATATCTGTCCGGACACATGGTACTGTAGTGTAGACAATTTAGGTAATTTTGATACCCTCCTTGACGAGCCTCAGATATAAGTGTCAATATAATCAAAAATAGTCAAACTAGTTTGTTAGTTATGAGAAGAACCTAGCTGTACTGTGTCAAATTTTCAGGTCTCTAGGTTTGAAATTATGAAATCTTTATGGAAAAATGTTCAAAAAGTGTCCGGTTGATGGTCCCTGACCAGTAGTGTTTAAACTAAATTATTCCATGTTAAAAGAGATGATAAATTTGGATTTTTTTTTTTCATTTTCAACACAAAAAGGTTTGAAATTTTAACATATAGGATTCATGTAAATTAATATAGTGTTTAATCTAAATTCTTTCATGTTAAAAGACACAATATATATCAAATTTGTTTTTTGTTTTGTTTTCATCAAAAAAGTGATACTTATGACAAGTAATTTGCATACTGTTGTAAAGTTAGAGAATAAATATATTACATTATTATAGATATAAATCATCTGAAATATTGAGTTGTTATTTCTTTATTTCTGGTCATTTTAACAATTTTTTGAAGTACTTTTAATATTAATATTGAAATTGAAGAAAGTAATATTCAGATTTCATTTATAAATAAATAAAAGAAAGAAATGCAGTGAAATATAATAGACAATATTGATCTTAATAAAGGTTATTTCAGGGCTCACACTGGCTCAAATAAAATAATAGCCAATATTTTTAACTTAAAAAAATAATAGCCAAAAGTTCAGCGGACTATTCAGGATTTAGTCATTAACAACATAAGCAGTTGATTAAATAAACATTCCATATAAAACTTTTTCAGTTCTATAAGGATTTTCAAATAAACTGATACATTTGTGTATATTGATAACTACTTTTTTTACATGTATATTGATAACTACTTTTTTTACATAGAACCACAACTTTGATTGCTATTATAGAACATGTTATATGGTAGAATTACTGTATAACAATAATATTAAAGAAAAGATTCATTATAACTTTACATAATGCTGTTATCAGACAATTTCTTTTGTTTATTCTAATCAAATTTTGTCAGCTATAACCTCTGTCAATTTCCACATTTCACACAGAGCTGGAGTAGATCTAGGTCATATTAGCCTATCGAAATAACGCTTGCAAACTCATTCACAGAATGCAGCCTTTTTTCTGAATAACTTACTGAAAAATGTCATCATCACCAATGTAATACAAATTTTCTGCCATAATAGTTCAGATTTTTAAACAGAACATAGCTTATTTTCACCCTTAAATAAATATCAAAATTATCGGCGTCGCGAAAATATGTGACAATCGGATTTTTTCCTGTTTTCTGAAAAAATATTCACAATTTTGGTTGTTGTGCAATTAGTTATTTGGAAGTTAATACTTTTTGAATATTTTATCATTGTTTTCCACTGGCGATTTAGTCAAGCAGCTTAAAACAAAAAAATCATAAATTTGCAATTTACGGTAAATTTTGGGTTGGTCAATATCCAGTTTATCAATTTTAAGACGATTTTTGTGGCTAATTGACGGATATTTGATGGCTATTATAATGCTGGACAATATCTTCAAATTTCTTATACAATTTTACATCTTGCATGTATTTTTATCACCTCGGGCAATATAGTAAGCAGCGCGTGACCGATTATAAGTTGACACTCAATTAAATCCACCCCGCTGGTGTTAATTGGGTCTACTGCATTGTTTATCGATTTTTACACCTTATATAGACACTGTTGGAAGTAAAAAATAATCGCCAGATTTTGTAGCCAAAATGCAAAAATAATCGCCAATCTGATAAAATAATCGCAAATGGCGACTATGGCGACCGACAGCGTGAGCCCTGGTTATTTTTAAAGATCATGGACAGTTTGTGAGAGAAAAAAAATGATTTGAAAAAGTAATGTACTAATTATAATGCATAAAAAGATATGTAAATAAACAAGTAAATAAATTAATGAATGAGTAAATTTAATGAAAATATCATAAACAGATGTGTAATTAATGTAGAAGGTCAGAAGAAGTAAAAGATTAATGTAATTGAATAAATACCACTTATATGATATATGCACAATGGAATGGTATATATAAATACCAGTTATATGATATATATGGCAAGGGAATGGTATATATAAATACCAGCTATATCATATATAGGACAACAGAATGGTATAAATAAATACCAATGATATGATGTATAGGACAAGGGAATGGTATAAATAAATACCAGTTATATAGGACAATATATAGGACAAGAGAATGGTATAAAAAGATACAAGTTATATGATATATAGGACAAGGGAATGGTATAAATAAATACCAGTTATATGATATACTGGACAAGGGAATGGTATAAATAAATACCAGTTATATGATATATGGACAAGGGAATGGTATAAATAAATACCAGTTATATGATATATAGGACAAGGGAATGGTATAAAAAGATACAAGTTATATGATATATAGGACAAGGGAATGGTATATATAAATACCAGTTATATGATATATAGGATATGGGAATGGTATACTGTTATATAAAATGATTGAGTCTGTACATGAGGGATAATGAATAAGTGCAACATCCCTCATGCTCCCTAGCACCGGCTTGAGCGGTACTCAATTCTCAACACTTAATAGTACTGGCATCAATGGTCCCGAAGGACCAGAAAAATATGACAACACTGAAGTGAAGTACGGGGCAACTTTTTACAGTTGCCACACAGCACTTAAATACCAGTTATATGATACATGAGACAAGGGAATGGTATAAATAAATACCAGTTATATGATATATAGGACAAGGGAATGGTATATATAAATACCAGTTATATGATATATAGGACAAGGGAATGGTATATATAAATACCAGTTATATGATATATAGGACAAGGGATCTGTCAATCGGTCCATACACCATATAAAGGACAAGGGAACGGTATATATAAATACCAGTTATATGATATATAGGACAAGGGAATGGTATATATAAAAATTTGCTTGTTAGGCCTACCTTCAAAGAAGTGGGGGTATATTGATTTGTATGTGTTGGTTGGTTGGTCTGTCAATCGGTCCATACACCAAACCGTCTCTGATCATTACTTTAAAACCAATGGGACTGGGGACTTCAAATCTTGATATTGATAAGAAAATTGGTCATGGCCAGTTGATGAATTCAATTGTTTTTGGGGGTCACTTGGTCAGTAGTCAAAAATTACGGTTACCTGGTCACATGACTTATTAGCTGGCGTAAGGGCATACATGTTTTTACAAACATCTCTTGTTTTATTTTAGAGATTCCTTCTTTATTTTATATTGTAAAGATGAAAAAATTGAATTAAAAGAAATAATAATTATACCAAAACAATTAATGTGTACAATACTTTAGTATCAATTTGTATAGTTAAAGGGACTCCACTGAGGTTTTTTGACATTACAGGGCGGGAATGTTATTTTTGAGATGTTTATAAAAATACTATTTGATGAAGGTCTTTTTCAATAACAACTTTGTCGACTTAAAAATTGTTGGTTTTTGCATGAAAGCTGGGGTGGATTGGACCTTAACATCACTTAATAGGTCACTGTCCAGGTATCATAACTACATGTATAGCATCCTTTTAAATGTTAGACAATTCTGCATTTTCCAGTACTGAGTATAATTGAGCAAACTGTCCTGCCGATAGTACTGTAATTGTACAAAATGAACAAAAATAAAAAGCATTTAAACTGTAATAACTCAAATTGGGCTAAATCTAGATTTTGGTTTTCAGTTTAATTCCTAGTATATTTCTTTAGTACCAGTTTTATATATTTTCTGTTTTAAGTTCCCCAATTTATCCTTGTTTGATTTTCAATTTTTAGACTTTTGGAGCTCAATGTGAACTATTTGCTTGTTTGTTTTAGTATTGTATATAGATAAACACAGGCTTAATATAAACATGCATAGGCCTAACTGTAAATTTACATGTATTAGCATAAAATGTGCTAAACAATGATATTTTTAGCATATTGTTTGTAGGACTATCTATGTATTAAAAATGAGTGTAACCTGTTATCTGCTAATCAAAACAAATTAAATGCATATATGGGTGTTAATATGGTTTTGTTGTAAGTCCTTACATATCATTAAATATAAACATATATACTTATAAGATAATATTATGCAGGGCTGTCAGATGCAAGTGCATATTGCTCACTCTTTATTGCCTCTTAGCTTTCCCTTTTGGGGACTTACATCTCTGAGGATATATACAAGTTGTTGACTGCACCTTGAGAAAATATATATACCAGTTGCTGGCTGCTCGTTAGGTATATATATACCAGTTCTTGATCACACCTTGGTGGTATACATACCCATACCAGGTCTTGGTCGCACCTTGGTGACATATTGTGATGCACCACATTTAGCCTATGCATACTTATTTTATGTTATTTACGGTTGATATGTTGTAAAAATGTTGAATACTAATGATTGTCAATGTAAATTATTTTTGAAAAGTTTCCCCTACTCTAATATTGGTACATGTAATTTTACTGTTTACTTAAACCCGGAAGTGTTTATTGTCAGCCATGTTGGTTATGCACGATTTGATGACGTCATTTAATTACTATGTCATGTTTTATTTTTATTTACCAAGTGAGGTTACCTATGGGAGCGTTAAATTATGCATACGAAAATAATAATTTATTTATTTTTGCATCACATTTACCGATCCCTCGTTATTGTGTATTCTTATTATTTTTATATTAGATTGATGGCGCTTTGTGTGATTTTAACTCTTACTTTATTATCCTTTAGCAGTGTTAGCAACCCTTTTGACAATTTGTTAGTATTTTGTTATAAACTCACAAGTTTCAAATGTTGTTTGCAAACTGTTAGCAATTGGTATATAAAAGGCAGATTATTGTTAGCAGCAGGGACTCTGCAACTGAGAACCTCTGAATTCATTAGAGTAAAATTTTATTATACATTGAAAAGTAATGTTATTTTATTTTTTCAGTAGAAAATTTACTTAAGGAAACTTTAACAAGAATTTTATAATTATTTTATTTTTACATTAGAACTATTGTCAGAAATAAAAGATTCTATGCCGGAAAAGTTCTGCATTAGTAATTTGTGTATATTTTCCTAGGTGAATTATATTAAAAGAGTTAAATTAATTCTATATTGTTTAACACTTTCCATTTTTTAAAGTTTAAATATTACTGTTTATTTATTGTTTATTACACAAGCGCCAGCCCCGATCTGAATCATATCTTTATGTTAATTTTGTAAGCATGATAGTATATTGAAATTAGAGATATTTCATATTATTGTCGTCAGATTTTACAAATGCGCAAGGTTGATTGTTAAGGGCTTACATAAATAAATTTAAATAGTTAAACTTGAACATTCTTATGTTATTTGTTTATTTTACTTATAACTCCATAAAGTTATTTAATTTATCTCAGAGTCCAAAATGTGTCGTCTGATGTCCGTCAGTCCGTTTTTTTTGAGTCGCATAAAAGCTGAAAGAATAGAAATTGGTACCAGTAAATGAGTCTTGCATAGGCCTATTTATTTTAAGTGCTTTATTAATAGGCATTTGTTTGTGATCGCATCCTGTCTGTATGTGTTTGATTATCAAGCACTATTCAAAGTAGGCATATTTAAATAATGCATATATGATACAGTGTATGTCTATGTCTGTGGTGTGAATTATTATAATTGCATAAGCAAAATAACACAAGGCTGTTATAAAGCTGACTTTTATTATTCAAAAGTACATGAACAGATTGTATGGCGTAGCGGCCTTAGATAAGAAAACATACAACAGTCTACAGCAGTTATTAAAGAGTCATCCGCACGGAACGCAACAATAAACATATACCAGTTGTTGGCCGCACCATGGAGATATATATACACACATACAAACACAAAAATAAATATATATGGTCATTTAATGCACAAATCGGTGAAAATTCAATAATTTTACCTTTAAGGTCAAGGTCATAAAAGAGCCAAGGTCAATTTGAGTTTGATAAACATGAAGGTCTTGTCCTTAAGAATGTTCTGTTGTAATATGAAGTCAATCCATTCAATAATAGCAAAGTTACAGCCAGCTACAGCCAAAAACCGTTGTGTTATTTGTTTGAGTGCTTGAGTTAGAATCAACCATTTTTACAGGAATAATGATCAACATCACTAAATTACAGGAATAATGATTCACATCACTGTGAAGTTATGCACCTGGGACTGTGCATGTGGATTTTTTTCAGTTTTGTTAGAGATATTGTCCTTGACTTACAGTAGTATAAATTTGCAATTTTCAACTTGTTCATGCATAGCTCAAAATGTATTTGACTTGTAGGCCTGAAAGTTTACAAGAATGTTGGTTTGCTTGTGGATTTATTTAGTATTTGTAAAATTCTTGCCCTTTACATAGTAAAAGATTTTTAGTTTTTCAACTTGTGGCACATGTAGTCCAAAATATATTTGACCTAGAGTCATAAGATTGACAGAACAGTGGTGTGTGGGGGCACCCTTGTCCTATGGACACATTTCTTGTTTTAACTGATTTTATACATTTGCTGTCATCATTTATTACTTTTAATAAAACCGCACACAATGATTCTATGATCAAGTGCCAACAGATTAAAAGGTATAAATAATGACAGCGAATCAGGTCAAAAATCTAATACTTAAATCAGTTAATGAATAAAATGCTTAACAAGGTGCATTGCCAAAAGTTTTAACAATATAAAAGCAAATGGGCCATTTACCCTGTATCGTGACTTATAGAAAATGACAAGATTAATGTTATTGTTTCTTGTTCATTGTGTATGCTTTCATTGATGTTAGCTGCTTGTCTCAAGTTCTGCTGTCTGACTTCACTCAACATGATTTCCGAGTTCAAGTGATTGATGCAGAATGTTCGTTGTTGGGGTTGTAAATGAATGGTATGCATGCTTCGAAGATAAGGGTTTGTTTTAATGTAAGAATGGAAATGCATATTAATTCTTTCTTGCATTTTAGTGTTATAAGGTTTGTCGTTCAAATGCATTTTAGTGGTGATAATATTGCAACGCATATGAACTATACCTGTGCATTATTTCAATGTTGGCAAAAACAAAGTTCTAAATTGAAAATACTATTCGTATATTCGTTTAGAAAATCATTTCTACAAGACAGATTAAGCCAAAGGTTTTGAAATCGCATTTTACCATATCATTTCCTGAAATATCTCATTTGTGAATACTAAAGATTTATCTTTTTACAGGAAAATTTAATTCAATTATAGTCTTACACGTCTTGACTAGTTTACATACAGTATTTCTCTGAGTACCATTTGCTTCTATTTACTTCACACAGTTGTCGTCTGGACCGTATAATAATTTGCTTAATTAAAATCTAAATGTGTCTCGGGACGAAACCTTCATTCAATTATTTCTCTTGGCATATTCCGGAAGTACGGTTGGATTACATAATTGATTTGTTAATAAGAAGAACGTGCTACCTGACAAATGTTTATCAGCCTGGACAAGACATGGAAGTGCAACTACATGTACCTTGAAGTCAAGGCATTATTTTGTAGATTGATTGACATTTCAAAAACTAATTGGGAACCAATTTCAATAGTATTGACTTTTTACACAAGCAATTTGTAAATCAACAAATGAGCCACGTCACGACAAAACCAACATAGTTGGTTTGCAACCAGCATGGATCCAGACCAGCCTGCACATCCGTGCAGTCTGATCAGGATCCATGCTGTTCGCTATCAGTTTCTCTACTTGTAATAGAGTTGGTAAGCGAACAGCATGGATCCTGATCAGACTGCACGGATGCGCAGGCTGGTCTGGATCCATGCTGGTCGCACACACATTGTGTTGGTTTTGTTATGAAGCAGCTAAAATCATGTATAAGCATTCAAACTGGTAAAACTTGTTTCAGAATAAAATTAAATTACGAATATATACAGTTTAGTATAGCTGAATTTACTTAGATGATAAGGACAATTTTTTTTATTCATTATTAAAAATTAAATAAACTTTTGAAAGAATAAGTTTGCTTCAAAAATAATAAAATCTGTCCTGTTTGCAAATTTCAACATAAAACATATGAATACAAAACCAACATAAAGATTATGAATACAAAACAGAAAAAAAGTCAATATGAACTTTTAAGTTATAACCCTACTTTGATCCACATTTCAATACAACAAAAGGCAATATAAAATATTTACAATGTTTTGTATACATACATATGATATTCAGGTTAGTTTTGTTATAAAAGTCAAAACAACAAAGATAAATAATTTATATTTTAATATATAAAAACAATGAAATTTATTTTACATAATATCACTTAACCAACAAAACTGAAACAAATCAAAATAACCATACATGCCAAATATTCAATTGTATGATTATGGTTTTATTGCAGCAGATACTAGCGCTATGGTATGCAATGAAACACTGTATTTGTGTGAAAATGGAACTGGCCTGCTTTTAACTAAACCTGGAAGAGTTCATCATAATTTTGAGGGTTTTTGCTTAGTTTGCAATAAACTTTAGCATCACTACACTAGTGTGATAATGGAACTGTCCTGTTTGTTTTTTTTTTTAATTCAAAAGAGTCCATTGTAATAGGGTTTCTTCATCACAACTCTGGAATCACCATATTTGTGTGATAAAAGAACAGTTCTGCTTTTAGTTTGGAAGAGTCTACTGTAACTTTTTAAGGGATTTTATCAATGAAAAGCTATAAATAATTTGCGAACGGTTATTAGCGAGTGTTGTCTGATGACATTTAATGGATTATACAAAGATTGTTCTGTTACATCATTATATTATAGTGTAACAATAGTCATGTTTGTTCTATTATGAAATGACATTGTACTAATAATCCATATAGTTTTATAATATAAGGTATTTTTTCAATGACTCGGATTGTTGTGGTGAGGGGCAAGAGGCTTTAAGTCAAGTCCTTGACCAGTCAGCCTTGCACGCCCCTCATCAGATTATCATAGCACATCAAAAACCAAGAATTTCCTATAATTGTAACCAGGGTTACATAAGATTATATAATGGTATACCCTTAGAGCACATCAATTTCTTGAATGTCATATCATGGCAGTTTAATAACCAAGGGAGCGTTTCACTAACATTCCTTAAGTTTTGCGTAAATTTATGTTAGTTGCATTTTATTATATAGAACATGCAATTTACAACAGCAATAAGTGAGCATAACTTTACGTTTAAACCTACGCAAATGCAAAGCTAAGAAAGTTTAATGAAACGCATATAAATACGTAAGTTCTGCTAATGCAAAAAGATATGTTCAAACTTGAGTTACGATAACGTAAGTAGTTAGTGAAACACACCCCAGGATTGTACCACAAAGGCATAGCCTTATAATACATCCACATAAAACTTGGTCTGCAATGTCATAATATCATAGCACAAATGCTAAGAATGTTCTTAAACGCAGTGCATCACAGCATATCAATAATCCTAAACATTTTATATCATTATATCTATGTTACTGTTTTGTTACAACAATGAACACATTTTCTGCAGCATGTATGTCCTTCCATTCTCCTAAGAAATATGAGCCGCTTCACAACAAAACCAACATAATGCGTTTGCATCCAGCATTGATCCAGACCATGGTCTGTCACAAACGCAGTATGTTGGTTTTGTCATGGCGCGGCTCATATTTGTCCCACTGTCTCATTACATATCAATAGGCCTGACTGTAAGAACCTTCAGGGTCTGTTATATCATTATCTCCCACTTCATTGCTTTCATCTCCTTCATTTTCAAGTTCCTATACAGAAAAGAAAAACATAAAATGTATCATTTAATGAAAATCTTTAATCAAAGCCTTACAGTATGCCTTAATGTACAATGTTCTAACATCTGGAAAAAAGAGACATTTTAAGATAATTATATTCTGTTGTAAATGGTAAAATGCACAGTGCATAATTCAGATATATGTATATAAATTTTAACCTTGCCCTGCTTAACTCTTTTAATGAACTAGCTCTTATTTACATATTAAAACTTTGGTAGACAACCACCGTGTCAAATATCAAAAGCCTCTTTCCTATACAAGCCCAGGTAAGAAAAGTGAGTCTGGGGCATGGCCATTTTTTACCCAAAATCTGCATAGCAATGCTATATGCCAAGACTATCTTAACTTTGGGCTGTGTAGTTTCTGAGATGGTTTAAATGCCTTTTCCAATGTACATCAAAGGGATAAACCAATTTTGACCCTGGGGCCACGATTTATTTGACTTTTGAAAAAAAAAACAACACCAGCTAGTGCTTCTTGCTAAATTATAAAATATGGAAGCTCTATGCATTGTAGTTTCAGAGTAGCAGAGTTAAAGTTTGTTTACGATATTAGGTAATGTATAATAAATAAGTTCACCAGGGCAGGGCCATCTTGACCCCAGGTGCATTATCTATATAACTTTTGCTGAGGTCCTAGCTAAGGTATCCTAACTGAGCTAGGACATGCAGTTTCAGAGAAGATTTTTTCCACATAAGTCTATGTTAACTTGGAGCAATATCAACACTGGTGCATATCCTACATATGGTGGTGATGCTACATGAATGAATTTAAGCTTTAGGTATAATTTACAATTATTGTTTTTGAGAAAAAAGCTTTCATTTAATGCACAGGTATGCTTGAAAACATGAATAGATAACAAGTATTCATATAAATTAAAACATTTTACGACTGTAGAAATTATATATAGAACATTACCACATCACTAAGGTCATCGTCGTCTGGTAAAGTTTCCCCGTCACTGTCACCACCATCTTGTGTTACATTTGTCTGAGATAGAATCTCCTCTCCCTGTAAAACATAATCAAAGTATGTTAAAAAATGTGTTCAACTTCTATACTGTTAAAAAAACAAACAATGTCCATGCCTAACTAATAGTATCATCAGAGTATTCATGAAAAAGGTTGAAAGAATATCTCATAACGCTGCCTGGCCTGGCTCTATACAAGTGGTAAAATCAGATCAGTTTCCATTCCAGTAGGGTAAACGTTAAAAATCAAAATGTTTTAATTAAGAATTTAGTTACATCTGCAGTTAAGTTCATACAATAGTCATCATGGTTAAAACAAAACTCAAGGTCCGTGAATCAAATGCTCTTTCAACTAAATTGTTCTACATATTTACAAGTATATATACACAGTATATAATACCTGTAGATCTCTGTTTTTGAGATTTCCCATCCAGAATGCCTCTAGACATTTGTTCACTGTCAACATAGCTTTAACACGGAACACAAATACTTCCAGAGATCTCTTCAACATTGGTACATTATTCGTCAATGCTAAATCTTTCATAATCTTCAAAATAAAAAAGGAAATGATTTCAATGCTTAGTGGCATATTACTTTATCTATAGATACTACAATTATTACTTTCTTATACTTCTGAAATCTATCTTATAAATGAGCTGTGTCACGACAAAACCAACATAATGGGTTTGCATCCAGCATGGATCCAGACCAGCCTGTGCATCCGCGCAGTCTGATCAGGATCCATGTTGTTCGCTATCAGTTTCTCTATTTGTAAAAGAGTTGGTAAGCGAACAGCATGGATCCTGATCAGACTGCAAGGTTGCGCAGGCTGGTCTGAATCCATGCTGGTCGCAAATGCATTATGTTGGTTTTGTCAATACGCGGCTCAAATGTTTATTGACTTAATGCTCAATGTATCCACACAGTACAGGGCTAGAACACCTATGACCTATGTGACTCCTGAGGGGTATCCAGACTATAGAAATTTTTAGTCAGAACAAAGTACCTTCCAAATAGTGACAATATTAAGCCTTTCACAGCCTCTAAAATTTTACCTTTATCAAGTTAACTATCATAAATGGACATGTCCATCTTTCATTTACAGAGATGCATACAATTATGTTTAGATAAAGGATAACCTATGTAAACATTTTTGGAAATATTGGGATTTCCGTTAATATATGAAAATGTGAATAAATTTCCTGTTAATTCTTTAATTGACCTTAAATAATAGTGCTTCATAAAGTTTACAGGCAATTACACTCAACTGGTGTAAAAACTTATCTCAGAAATGTATAAAATCTTTGTAAATTGTCCATTCAGTAAATTACAAGAGGTGGAAAGGTATTTATGGATGGCACTGTATAATCATTCATTTATTCCAGTAAATGGAGGATTTACCTTAGAATGTCCACACAAGTGATGTAGTGCTCGTGTACTTTGTTGCAAGTTTTTCAACAGTCCCAATATATCCTGTCTGTGACTTTTAAACATCATGTCTAACAATGGCATTCCTAGTCTTAGGAAAGCTTCAACAAAAAATCTACCATACTGAAAAATGAAACACAAATTTATGGGGTCTGTATCAAAATTACATGAAGCTTTTTGATATTAAAATAATCAGTCTACTGTAAAACACCTGGTCAGAATACAAGAAAAAAGAATAATCAAAATTTGGAAATGTTAAATGTAACTAATAAAGATGCTAAATCAAATGTTTTCAAATTAACTCCAGACTTGTCCTGTTTAAATTTGTAACAATCCATTGTTACTTTGAGGTATAATAAAATCAAAAGAGCCAAATTAAGCCTCCAGCACTATAGAATCTAGTCAGAATTCATAGATGTATATGATGATGTGACTATCCTGGTGACTTAGAACTCTTATGATGAAAGGGCGCAGTTCAGAAGCTAGCCATTTTGCCATGGTTTAAATCAGGACCAAGTTGCTATGCCATGGCTCTTTCAAAGGGTTCAATTAAGAAACCAAGTCAGTCATTTTGCCATGGCTATATTCCAAGGATTCACTACACATGCCAGTCATTTTGCAATGGCTTTATTCCAAGGATACACTACACATGCCAGTCATTTTGCCATGGCTATATTCAAAGGGTTCACGAAAGATGCCAGTCATTTTGCATCGGTTTTACTCAAAAGGTTCACTTCAGATGCAAGCTGCTTTGCCAAGGCTTTACTTTAAACATTAAATTCACAAGCCAGTCTTTTTGAAATGGCTTTTCTCAAAGAGTGCATTTAAGAAACCAGTATTTTTGCCATGGCTCTAAGTACATGTTGACCTGTGTGTACTGCACCACCAACAAGTTCTGATAACTGATAGCTGATATCTTACCTTTATACATGTTCCCAAATTCCCTCTTCCATCAAATGTCTGAAATATAACATATCACTCTTATCAGAATTGCCAACTTAATACTAACACTGCCAAAATTTTACCTGTCCTGCTTTGCATTGGATAGACTAGAGTAAATGAAATTTTGTTCATACAAAACAATTAAAAGGAACAATATGGAGAATGATCATACCATATGTAATGAAAATATTATGTTTTGTAACTATATGTTAAATGTCACCGATGATTAGACTAGAACCTGAAACCATTAAAACCTTTAAATTATTGTTTTTTAGACTGTATTATTTTTCCTCTGTCAAAAAATCATATGCATTCTTTACTGAAATTCAAAACATTATTGGTTCTGAAAGACAATTATATTAGCCGCGTCACGACAAAACCAACATAATGCGTTTGCGACCAGCATTGATCCAGACCAGCCTGCGCATCCACGCAGTCTGTTCAGGATCCATGCTGTTCGCTATCAGTTTCTCTACTTGTTATAGGGTTTGTAAGCGAACAGCATGGATCCTGACAAGACTGTGGGATGCGCAGGCTGGTCTGGATCCATGCTGGTCGCAAACCCATTATGTTGGTTTTGTAGTGACGCGGCTCATATACATTTCAACAAAGTTTCTACGAGAATGTTTTGTTAATGTGTTAAGATAAACTTTCTATAGCAATCTGGGAGGATGACCTTAGGTGCCCCTACATGCATTATTTCAGGCATCATCAAGCACCTGAGTAGAACCACTGAAGTTCCATAAACCTGCTGGAAAACTTTCATCACATGACAGAATTCAGTCCCTAGAAGGTTTTTAACCCACAGTGGAGAGCAGGCAAGGATTTTTTGGCATAACTGTGTCACAAGCCGCCGACAAATATTATTTTATATTAAGCCCTTTAAATAGGCTAATGTAATAAAATACAAATATCACCTTCACAAGATTGACTAGAATATGGAATATTCTGACTCCTACATTCCACTGCAATAGCCTGTCAATCCATGTCTGTAAAATATATATCATTCAACAGATTTACATAATATACTGAGTACACATTTATGGAGTAAAGTATTTATATATTTTTTTCTCCCAGCTTTATTTCAGGTAATAAGGTGTCACTTACGTTATACATCAGAAATTCTGTAAGCTAGCTGGATATCTTCTTCACATAAAATAATGTGAAGTCAAACTCACCATAATGAAGGAGCCAGTACTTTGAAGACATTTACCTTAACCAAATAGCTTATGTAAAATTTATAGTTCAATCATCAAAATTAGAAATCTTATAATACTTTATCATTGATGTCATCAAAAATGAACAACCTTTGCCACCATTATAAAAACAGGCTGACCTTCACATACATATTTGGCCAGCTTCTATTCTGTTGGCTAACCAACTTAAAATTTTCCATCTCAAAATAATAAAAAAATTGATAATGAACGGTTCCAAGTATGAAAGTTGGACAAGTCCATTAAATATTTACAGTACAAGGAAAGATTCAATCTTGATTTAACTCTTCCTTTGTAAAAATACTCCCTAAAAGTACTGTTTCTTCAAGAGATTATGCTGTCACCTAATGATAATTTACCAATTAAGGATTATACTCTTTAAGACCAAAGGGATTCCATTGAATAATATCATGACTTGTGTGTGAGATTTCAAATTGATTTTAAAATTAACTACATGGGGAATTTAATCAGACTTCTACCATGTGTCCAGGGAGGGGAGGGGTTCAAGTCCTCACCCTCCATTAATTTAGCATCTTATAATAAAGCAGTATTAGGGTTAATACTATGGTGTATAATGTTTGTTTGTTTGACTGGGTTTTACTTTGCACCAACACAGTATATGCCATTTGGCGACATTCCAGCTTTACTAATGGAGGAAGACCTCAGGTACATTATTTCAGGCAGGAACAGGTACCTGAGTAGAATCACCAATGTTCCTTAAGCTAACTGGATAGCTTCCACACATGAAAGAATCCAAAATCCCTGTCGGGATTGGAACCCACAGCAGTGAGGGGCAAGTGGTTTGAAGTCAAGAACCGTAACTACTCTGCCACAGGTATCCCCACTATGATGTATATACAGTCCGACCACGGTTATTCGACCACCCTTTATTCGAATACCCGGCATTATCCGAAGTAGATTGGCGGTCCCGTTTTTATCTCTATATAAAACAATATAAATACGAGCGTATTATTCGAAATGCATTATCCTAATACCTCCTATTTTTCGAAGTAAAATTTCGGTCCCGATTATACAATTATGAAAGAATTTCACACCTATTATTCGAAGCTAGCCTAATTATTATTCGAAGCCAGACTAATTGGCGCAGATTCACTTGCTGACGGTCGACTTGTGAAAAATATCAACAGTCATGCGTGTGTTTAGACAATCATGATAATAACTATTTGCGTGTTTTTTTAATCAATTTAATTACCGAAAATGAAAAGCTATGCACCGTGTCCGATTTTTATTGCTTGAGGATGACAGTAATAATTTTCATACATACCGTATATGTGAATTTGTCAAAACATCCAAAACATTTTTATTTCATTAATTGTTACGCTACATAAGAGCCTTTATCCTAATCGAAAATACCAGAGTTTAGCTGTAAATACCGTAGTGACAACACGGCCATTATCAAGGCTTTGCGCGAAACGATACATAATGTAGAATAAAATGCAAGTATTTATGTCTTCAATGCCAATACAATAATTTTTACGCATCTTTTCTTTAATATTTATTTTTCTCAATTGATTGCAGGAAGTAAGTGTTGTAAACGGTAGTTTTGCTATGATTGGTCAAAGTGGAGTAGTTTTCGTCTATCACAATATTCCGATTTCGATTATTCGAACCCATCGATTATTCGAAGTAAATATTCAGTCCCTGGCACTTCGAATAAACGGGGTTGGACTGTACTTTAATTAGACATTCATGTGAGCAGTGAGTAAAAACCCAAAAAGAACCACATAAAAATATTTCAAAATTAAGAAATCAAAATTTCACTAAAATAGTATTGCCTAAATTACTGTTACTATAGGATCTCCATGTATATAGGTAAATTTTTTTTAAAACACGTATTTTTTCTATTTTTACCACAAAAGTTTTAATGTACAGGTCATCTGTTTCAAGTGAAATGATATAAAGTGTCTTACATCAATCAGATCTGATTGTTTGACTGGTGGTATACCTTTCACAGCTTCTATAAGTTCACTGTACAAAACACGATAATACACTGTGTACGAGGATCTGAAATAACAAACAAATATACTTTTATAACATATTCAGTTTTTTATTTGTTTGGGTCGTCAGACCAAACAAATAATGGTAGCGAAATTTCAGAGTCTAATGCTGTTAATTGCAAATGCCGAAAGTAGTCTACTTTTTTGAAGCAGTTACTTCCCTTTATATGTACACTAACGCCGAAAAAATCAGGGGAGATCACTGCGTAAAGATGGTCAAAGACCGTCGCATTAATTTTAATAATAATTCCCGAATGGTCGAAGATTTCTAATATTGTTTTATTGTATTTTCTGATCGAAAATAAGTAAATACAAAGCGGACATTTAATCTCTGACACAGAAGTTTACGACAAACCTAACAACAAGTAGTTCTCAAAACAGCTTAAAACTAGCGATTTAAAAGAAAGAAATATTTTTATTTTGTTACAAGTATCCAACAAATTACAACTCATTCAAAGTTTAAAAATAGCGTTGGCTTATAGAATTGTCAATAAATGCAAAATCACAAATTACGCGGATGAATATGATTTTATCAATGAAAATACTATTTTTAGCGATGTCGATTACCGAATACTACACAAACTGAGTAGTGGAGTATATAGATTCTACATGTCGGTCTGTTTGGGCGAGAAGATTTTCGCTTAATTATTTACTTTGACAATTTTAAACAACAGGTTTATCCTGAACAAAATACCTCAAAATTAATAAGGATTACAAACCCGAAATGCAATAGAAGTTCTAAATTTAGAATTACTTGATCATTACTTGTTGATGTTATTCAGACATTGTTTGTATAACTTCTTCGTGGTGCAGGGGTAACGCGCTCGCTTTGTGAGTGAGAGGTCTGGAGTTCGAATCCCAGTCAAGGAAACTTTTTTTTTTTAATTATTTTTTAAGTGTCTTTGTTAAGGAAGTAGCCATGATATGCAAGGATAAAGTGTGGCTGTCGTAAAAAATGAACATAAAATGATTTTTTATGCATCTCTAGTTATGCAGACTTCCGTATGTATCAAACTCTGGTGCCTTGCAAAATGAATTATAATACATAACAAGAGGGCCATGATGGCCCTGAGGTCGCTCACCTGTATATAGGCCCCCCCACCCCCGGGCCAATTTTTACCCAAGGGCTTTTATTTGTTTATTTGAACAGACTTGGTAGACACCCATAAGAAGATGTTTCATGCTAAACATCTAATTTCTAGCTCATTGGGTTTTTTAAAAGAAGATTTTTAAAGTTTTTACTATACACATATAGTTAAAAACAATGACACCCCTGGGGCAGCGCCAGTTTTGACCCCGGGCTTTTATTTGAACAAACTTTGTAGATATTTACTTAAAGATGTTTCATGCTTAATATCTAAACTCTAGCTATTTGGGTTTTTTCAAAGAAGATTTTTTTAGTTTTTGCTATACACATATAAGGAAAATCAATGACCCCCCCCCCACCCGGGCGGGGCCAGTTTTGACCCCAGGGCTTTTATTTGAACATACTTGGTAGACACCCATTAGAACATGTTTCATGCTAAATATCTTAGCTCTAGCTCTTTGAGTTCTTTAAAAGAAGATTTTTTAAGTTTTTACTATATGCATGTAGGGAAAATCAATGACCCCCTGGGGTGGGGCCAATTTTGACCCAAGGGCTTTTATTTGAACAAACTTGGTAGACACTTATTAGAAGATGTTTCATGCTAAATATCTTAGCTCTAGCTCTTTGGGTTCTTTAAAAGAAGATTTTTTAAGTTTTTACTATATGCATATAGGGAAAATCTATGACCCCCTGGGGCGGGGTCAATTTTGACCCCAGGGCTTTTATTTGAACAAACTTGGTAGACATTCACTAGAAGATGTTTCATGCCAAATATCTAAGCTCTAGCTCTTATGGTTCTTTAAAAGAAGATTTTTTAAGTTTTTACTATATGCATATAGGGAAAATCAATGACCCCCCGGGGTGGGCCAATTTTGACCACAGGGCTTTTATTTGAACAAACTTGGTAGACACTCACTAGAAGATGTTTCATGCTTAATATCTTAGCTCTAGCTCTTTGGGTTCTTTAAAAGAAGATTTTTTAAGTTTTTACTATATGCATATAGGGAAAATCAATGACCCCCGGGGCGGGGCCAATTTTGACCCCAGGGCTTTTATTTGAACAAACTTGGTAGACACTCACTAGAAGATGTTTCATGCCAAATATCTTAGCTCTAGCTCTTTGGGTTCTTTAAAAGAAGATTTTTTAAGTTTTTACTATATGCATATAGGGAAAATCAATGACCCCCTGGGGCGGGGCCAATTTTGACCCCAGGGCTTTTATTTGAACAAACTTGGTAGACACTCACTAGAAGCTGTTTCATGCCAAATATCTAAGCTCTAGCTCTTGGGGTTGTTTAAAAGAAGATATTTAAAGATTTTTCTTTCGGTTGCCATGGCAACCAGAGTTCTGCATGGAATTAAATTCTTTGAACAATTTTTAAAGGTGACCACCAAAGGAACATTCCTGTGAAGTTTGGATGAAATTGGCTCAGTGGTTTATGAGGAGATGTCATTTAAAGCAAAAGTTTACGGACGGACGCCGGATGGACGACGGACGGACGCCGGACGAAAAGCGATCACAAAAGCTCACCCTGTCACTTTGTGACAGGTGAGCTAAAAATAAACTTATACAGGAAAATACATACAGACATACAGTACGATTTAGATTGCAAAGATCAGAAAATACCACAGAACTTGCAGCCCTTTGATTCTTTATAAATATACATGCTTATAGTAAGCTCCAGGATTATTTACATCTGTGTTAAACAACAGTTAAAGTCGTTACAAGCCCTAATTTAGAATAATATGGTTTTCTTTAGGCCGTTCACATATAAATTCACCGTGGCTGAAGGGTTTTCGCGCTCGCTTAGGAAGCGAGAGGTCTGGAGTTCAAATCCCAGTAAAGGCAAGTCATTTTTTTTTTCAAATTGTTTAAGTCAAATAAACATTGGATTGAATATCAGTGTTGCAATTAGTCTTATAGCCAATTTACTACAATGAAAACGCTGGAAAGCATTGGTGGCACTATACATATAATCTCACAACCTGTACCTTTCTTACATTCTGAGATCCAAACGAATTCAGCGCCTTCTGTGCTTTGATTTATTACCTGACTGACATATTTTGATGAAAATAGACATTGCTTTTATAATGTTATTGCATCATGGACTTATCCAGTTTTGAGTTTGAAAATGATCAATTCATTTGTAATTATATGTAAGTGTAAATCTATCAAAAATCTTTTAGATAAAGTGTTATTGCATTAAATTCTTGCAACAACAATACCTTGTATATGCAACCAGTAGCATCAAGCTAAACCATAAAACATTGCTCTACATTGTTAGCTTCTTATTTGTAATATGTTGGTATTTAATAATTCCTTCACTGAAAATGGACTCTTCCAGATTTAAAATAGGAAAAGTCCATATTAGAAATTTAGTAGGGTAAGGTAAAAATAAGAAACGTTTACACAACTCGCATGTTTCACCAAGGTCATACAAAGCCAAGGCACAACAATCAATAAGAAATTGGAGAAACTAGAACTGCCACTATCATGGCGTGAATACCCCCGCATACCACTTTGTCAGAATCAACAGTGGCCATTTAGAGCTCAAGGACAACCTCCCTGCCAAATCTGAGGTTACTAAGCCAGTGCATTGCTAAGTTATGTATTCTACATGCTTCAAATGTGAAAATGTCAATACATTGCGGACAGGACATTCTTTAGCAATTGAGAAGAAAACTTTTTTTTTGTCAAGGTCCCTGTGACCTTGACCTTTGACCCAGTGACTTCAAAATCAATAGGGGTCACCTTATAGTCATGATCAACATCCATACCAAATATGAAGACTGTGGGTCAAAGGAATCTTAAGTTAATGGGTGGACAAACTTTTTGAAGTCAAAGTACCTATGACCTTGACCTTTGATCCAGTGACCTCAAAATCATAAGGGGTCATCTACTAATCATGATCAACATCCATGCCAAATATGAAGACTGTGGGTTAAAGGAATCTAAAGTTATTGGGCAGACAAACTTTTTGAAGTCAAAGTCCCTGTGACCTTGACCTTTGACCTGGTGACCTCAAAATCAATAGGGGTCATCTACTAATCATGACTAACCTCCATGCCAAATATGAAGACTATGGGTCAAAGGAATCTTAAGTTATTGGGCGGACAAGCTTTTTGAAGTCAAGGCCCCTGTGACCTTGACCTTTGACCTGGTGACCTCAAAATCAATAGGGGTCATCTACTAATCATGACTAACCTCCATGCCAAATATGACGACTGTAGGTCAAAGGAATCTTAAGTTATTGGGCGGACAAGCTTTTTGAAGTCAAGGCCCCTGTGACCTTGACCTTTTACCTGGTGACCTCAAAATCAATAGGGGTCATCTACTAATCATGACTAACCTCCATGCCAAATATGAAGACTGTAGGTCAAAGGAATCTTAAGTTATTGGGCGGACAAGCTTTTTGAAGTCAAGGCCCCTGTGACCTTGACCTTTGACCTAGTGACCTCAAAATCAATAGGGGTCATCTACTAATCATTACTAACCTCCATGCCAAATATGAAGACTGTAGGTCAAAGGAATCTTAAGTTATTGGGCGGACAAGCTTTTTGAAGTCAAGGCCCCTGTGACCTTGACCTTTGACCTAGTGACCTCAAAATCAATAGGGGTAAACTACTAATCATGACTAACCTCCATGCCAAATATGAAGACTAAGGGTCAAAGGAATCTTAAGTTATTGGGCGGACAAGAAAAAACCGACGGACAGCCGGACGGCCGGACAAGCTGATTCCAGTATACCCCCCTTACAACTTTGTTGAGCGGGGGTATAAAAAAAAACTCGCATGTATTTAATTCGCATACAGTGTATTTGTTTACTGCCACTTTCAAACTTTACTGGTGCAGGAAAACCTCACATGCCCCTCCATGCATTAATTCCAGCACAAGTGAGCACTTACGTAGAACCACAAGTCTTTTGTAAGCGAGCTGGAAAGCAGCCTAACATGTAAGTACCCAAATTTCTCTAGCAGGATTAAACCCACAGCAGTAAAAGGCAAGTTGCATGTAGTCAGCCACCATAACCACTTAGCCACTGAGGTCCATTTGCTACCAGTAAGTAATAAACCAATGTATAAATGAGCCATGTCACGACAAAACCAACATAGTGTGTTTGTGCAGTCTGATCAGGATCCATGCTGTTCCCTATCAGTTTCTCTACTTGTTATAGAGTTGGTAAGTGAGCATGGATCCTGATCAGACTGTGCTGATGCAAAGGCTGGTCTGGATCTATTCTGGTCGCAAACGCACTATGTTGGTTTTGCTGTGACGCGGCTCAAATAAGGTAAGAAGAGTTATTGTCAAACCTGTTCATAGTTGGATATGTTGCTGAGCAGCCATTTTTATCAGTTTCCAACAGTTCTGGTATAGCTTTAGATGCTATAACTTCAACAGCTTTCAGAGGATCTTCAGAATGTACAACATATGACCTGAATAATATAATGATCTGACAGTACATGTTAATCTTAAAAACTGAGTAGCCATTGATATCTAGATAACAATTATATCTAAAAACAATTTTAAATTTTCAGGCAATATAAAACAGAACATGACTATTCACCCGCTTCAGTGATAATCGGACTACCCCGCTAGTTTCTGATTTTCACACTATCGTTAAACTTCGGCGATATCCGTGAATTATTGCCTACATTGCCGACATGGATTTTCATCGGAGAAATGTGTGTGTGGAAAATGTGTTTTGTACGTTTTAGAATAAATAACTATTGCTTCTTATATAAGTAAAAAATGTTTAGTCTTTTTTTTGTTGATGTACCTCCGGGAATCAATATGGCAGTATTTTGGCTACTTTTACCCAGGATGCATCAAATATCGCAAAATCTTGCGACATGGTAACTTGCGGGAACACAATTCCGCTGATACTGATTTTAACTGTGTGACATCACAGTCTCTTCTCCATCTTATATTTAGCTCCATGGTATATTTCAAATATTTCAATCATGGAAATTACTCTAGTATTTAAAATAAAGCTTTCTTTTATAGGTAAAGGTACCTCTCTAACTCATTCCACTTCAAAGCACAATGTATTAATATGAGTTTGCAAAATTATTTGGTATTCTTTTACAGGACTGACATATTGGAATACTTTTATGAATTTAACATCTTGGCTTACTTTTATAGGTTTGGCAGACTGGCTTATTCTTATGGATTTGACAAAAATGTATTGACTTACTTTTGTTGCTTTAAAATATTGGCTTACTATTACGGGTACAGCATACTGGCTTACTTTATTTATTTTGGCATACTGACTGGTGTCCTTTTGACATATTGGCTTGATATGATGGGAATGACATATTAGCTTTTTTTATGAGATCGATATATTGACTTATTTCTATGAGTATGAAATATTGGTTTAATTTCATGGGGTTAACATATTGTATTTCTATAATGGGTATAACACATTGTCTAACATTTGTGGGTAAGGTATATTGGCTTAAATTTTAGTTATGGCAAATTGGCTCAATTAAAAAAAATGGTTTATATTTGCTAGGTTTATAGATTTTGTAAATTTAATGTTGTTATCTATGAAAGTCCTAGAGTAATAATATTAACAGACTTACTTTATAATAATCTGTAGGTGCTCATTAAATTTGCTGCCCTTTTCTCTCTGTCCATCATGACCTATCCATTCTCTCTTGAGAAATTCTTCAGATATTGGTACTAAAATAATTCACAAAATATTCATTAATGTCAATTTTAAAGAAAATTTCCTCCTTGATGTCTTATTTATCAAAATTTAACATTCTTGGCAGTTAAACTTTATTATTTTCATATGAAAATCCCTTATATAAGCAACAGTATGTTCCAAATTTAAAGCAGAGCAAGATTTGATTACTTTAAGCAGTGAAAGAGTTAAATTTACAAATATTTACCAAGTTTCCTTGTAAGTTGCCTGTCTTCTGATTTCTCACAAAGGGAGGTAAGAACTTTGAGCAATGTTACTGCAGTACCAATATCAGGTACTGTGTTCGCAAAGTTAGATATATACTTTACTGCTGTCCTTAAAAAGAAAGAGAGCAAAATAACACAATTAGGCTGAATTTACTAACACTACTGTGATATTATGTTTATTTATGATCTAAATACAATGTAACCTCTGCACAGCAACCCTCTCAGAGAAATAACCTGTTTACAATGGTAATATCTTGTTTTTCCCAAAGTAATAATGCACAGTAAATTTTATGTCTCTTGAGCAACACCTCCCACTCAACAATAACAAAATTCTATGTCTCCAAAAGAGTGTTGTTCTGAAGAGGTTGCACTGGGTTTTTTTTTGAATTTTTATACTGAAATCCCTTAAAGGAACCCTTACAATTGTTTTTTTTTAGCCTGTTTCATAAATCAACTTGTGCACTTAAAATTGAAAAGTATACAATAGGTAATAAGGCCAACATTTTTTTATTAAATGTTTTACGGGACATTTTTTAAAAAAATTGGGTCGGGGGGATAAATAAAAATAAAAATAAAATTCAATTTTTTTATCAGTCGACCACAAAATAAAAATAAAATGATAAAAGAGGTTAAAAAAATTTATTTTCAAACATTTTTTTTAACACTCCAAAAACAGATTTTTTGTTCATAAAATCAATGATTTTATACTTTTGAAGTATTTTTGACATAATTTTAAACAAAATAATTGAAAAAAAAATGTTTTAAGTCACTTTGCTTTTGTTTTAGTAGCTATTTAATGCTGATCTAGTTTCTATTAGTTTTGTCTTTTCACATTTAGGGCAAACATGCCACACAACTCCAAATTCATTGTTTAGTCCCTTCATTTCAAGAGTATCCAAACAAGGTTGTATTGCCACTCTCAAGCTTTACTGACACAAGCTTGCAACCAGGTAGAACCACCAACCTATTATTAGCGTACTGATTTCACGGGAATCCAAATTAACTTCCTGACAAGATTCTAATCCACAACACCACACAGGGAGTGTGATTCATTCACATAGGTACAAACATAATAATGTACAATGTCAGTTTCACAAGGTAATTTGAATCAACAACTTCAAATTATCTTTAAGAGAGTAAGTTCTGTATGTGCAAAAAATTGCAATTTCTGAAAATTATTCGTATTTCGAATAATTAGTAAAATGAATGCAATTGAGAGTAAATAGAAAATCAAATGGCATACATTGTTACATAATCAGAGTTTTCTGCTGAGAATTTATTATAGGCAATTTTTACAGAAATGTCAAAGAGGACTTATGCTCATAATCTTACATTGAAAAAAGACCAATTTTCTCAATATTGATCTAGTAAAAAACTTCTAAAAATACTAGGGCTGGGTATTGATCAGAAATTTCCGATACGATACGTATTGCGATACAGACCAACAATACACAATACGTATTGACGATACAGTACAATGATGCTTCATTGTTAGGATGTACTTATTAAAAGTACTATTTACATTTCATAGATGCCCTGGTGAAATATTATTGAATCTTTCTTATATCTGTTTTAGATTTTGACTTTGTTAATGATGATATATAATACAGAGCAGGTGCATAGGTACCTTAATTAGTACATTTAAGATAATATTTTGAAAATGACATGATGGCCCCTTTTTTAGAGAAAACAATTATTTTGAAAAAAAAAAAGCTTTGTAGAGAAATAATTCAATGCAAAAATATAATTATGTAAATACTAGGAAAAGTTAACGCAGAAAATAATTAAAACATCACTATTTATTATGACAGGAGCGTAGTACTGTCTACAAGTCAACTGTTCTAAATTATAAGATCTTTATAATAAAATCAAATTTTTGTAGAATTTGAAATATATACGCTGAGAAAGTATTGGAACATTGAACATTTTCTAACAAATCATGTTTTTTCTATCTTAAACGGTAGAATTACAATAAAAATATAAATATCATGATATGATGTTGTGGTGTCGTAATCCGTAACGTACCGGGAAACCGTGTTTAGCTACGTCTTCGCGCAGTCACATTTATTTAGTTAGCAAACTACATCTTGGAAAATCAATAAATTTGTAGGATTTATGTGTTTACAATATGTGTTTCATTAAATTACAAGTAAATGTTTGGTCTAATACAAACTACTGCCGACCTGAAAGTATTTTTACCAGTGTTAGACATAGGAGATTGAATGGCCGGATAAATTTTGTCACGGATTTATCCGTCATTTTGTGTATTGACACATTCGTTGTTCCACCTGAACTAATCAATGCAGCCTTTCAAATATTGCTGAGGGCCTTCTTAACATTTACTTTAGAGAAAATTCCACACTTTTGATTTTCGTGCGGACAATTTAAAGACGATAGTTTTAATGTAAAGCCATCATGTTTATAAGTTACAGCTTTTTTTTTTAAGGTTGTCTTCCTTTATATCGGTATAGCTAAAACCCGATAACCGTACCGTATTGAAAAACGGAAAATCGATAAATACCCATTTACCGGTATATTGATCCAGCCCTAAAAAATACTTACTACTACCTGTCATGATACTAATATTGACTTAATAAATGTTAAAAATGACTGTGTTCAATTATAAACAAGCCTTGTCTACAAGACAACAACAAAAATATGTCCATCAAACAAATTTCAGGAATTTATTATTTTCGTATTTTTGTTTTCAAAGATTCATAATAAAAAGTTTTCACTATCAATTTACTTACAATAAATCTTCAATGTAAGTAGATCTCATTTGTAACTAATTTTTCTCAATCTGTCTAAGTAAATTTAACTTATATTTGTTTATAAAATCTATACACGAGTCTAAATTTTAATGTGTGGAAGTATTCTCATGGTCTTCTCGTGGTAAATCGAGTAATATTTCATTTTGGCACCAAAGTCAATCAACGGCTTTGAGACCGTGCCCATTTAATTTTTTACAACTGTTCTGAGAGTGAAGGTAATTCAAATCAACTTATGCAATGGATGTTAATTACCAGTCGTGCTTTTTAACAGCTTTACAGGCTATCATGTTTGATTAAATGCTCTAATATCTATTACTCAAATTGCCATAGTTGTATTGAACTTCCGTGACCCGGTGTCGCGTGATATTCACACGGGTAAATTTATTACAAGCTTGTAAAGTTATTGCCCTTCCCTTTTGTTACGCCTTTTGTAACATTCTTGTAAACATCAAAGGGCCTAACTTTTGTCAGTTGTTTTAAGCAAGTTCCGAGGTTCTACCGTTAAGTATCGTTATCAACTTAAGTGAAAAACGTGTACCATACCGAGTAACTTTTAATTTTGACAGAAGTGGGTAAGAGAGGTCGGCGGACAAAATGAAAATAAAATTTCTTAAATGAACTTTTATTTTTATTTGATTTTCTCTAAAAATACGGTCGGCGGTCCCGTAAAACATTTTATAAAAAAATGTTGGCCTAATTATGAAAATATAATCAGTATGAAATTGTAAATCAACTATTTTGTAAACACTTTTCATCTTGGGGTAAATTTGCATAATAAAATTAAATATCCCTTGGAAATGGAGTGAGCAAATGACCTGTAATTGTGTATACAAATTATTGGTCCAGATCCATGTCTTATTAGAGAGTCTTGAAAAAATAGCTGTGGTCTTTTATGTTATAAATCCTCAGTGTAGTCCCTTCAAGCTACCAAGAGACTGCTACAAAGAAAATTCATTAAACAAATCAGCAGAGAGTCTTAATATCTCTAATTACTTATATAATTTATCACACAGCATATAAATACATTCTTGACAATATTGCATATTTAATATAGCAAAAACTGTATATAAATACATACTTGACAAGATCTTTTAGAGACATCTGTGAGTGACCTGCTGTTTTAATTCTCTGAACAAGTACACCAAGACCTTCCTTCAGTAAGTCACGATTCTCTACCATCTGAAATCCATTCCTGAAAATGAGGCTAGCATATAATAAATCTATAACAACAAATTTAGCAGGGTTAGGGTGAACTCTAAATGTGTCTATAGGTAACAATGATGCCCCAACTTTCCTCTGTTGTGTCAGTCTATTGATGGACAGCAGGACAGACAATGGCAAATCTATGCCTTCCAAAAAAGACCCCAAGTAGTGGGGACAAAATAAAAGAACTTTATACATAAAAACTTTATACATACCATGAAAAAATAGAGAGTAAAGCTTGTAATAACTGTTGGAAACACATGGCTGACATCTGTGCCTGAGGACTGTGACTCCCTGGACCATCCATCATTCCATCATTGTCTGCCAGTAATGTCTAAATAGCAAACTTAACTTTTAAAACGTTCCTTATAACATCAGTAAAGAGAGCAAAGCATCGGTAAAGAGAGCAAAGCATCAGTAAAGAGAGCAAAGCATCAGTAAAGAGAGCAAACCATCGGTAAAGAGAGCAAAGCATCAGTAAAGAGAGCAAAGCATCAGTAAAGAGAGCAAACCATCGGTAAAGAGAGCAAAGCATCAGTAAAGAGAGCAAACCATCAGTAAAGAGAGCAAACCATCAGTAAAGAGAGCAAAGCATCTGTAGAAAGCAAAGCATCTGTAAAGAGCAAAGCATCAGTAAAGAGAGCAAAGCATCGGTAAAGAGAACAAAGCATCGGTAAAGAGAGCAAAGCATTTGTAGAAAGCAAAGCATCCGTAAAGAGAGCAAAGCATTGGTAAAGAGCAAAGTATCGGTAAAGAGAGCAAAGCATCAGTAAAGAGAGCAAAGCATCAGTAAAGACAGCAAAGCGTCAGTAAAGAGAGCAAAGCGTCAGTTAAGAGAGCAAAGACGAGCTGTTTTTGAACATCCAGGCAGTCTGATAAGTCTCTATAATGCTGACTGCTTATTTTGGATTTTTTGTAATACAATTTTTTTTTTCAAAACCTCTCTTTAGTAGCAATGGAAAGTTCCTTATTCCTACAGTTCAGACATTGTCTGCCAATTGTATTGCTTTACCACTTTGCCTCTTCAACATCAAAGAAGCACACCTCCATATTCATGTTAATTTTCGTGAAAATTTTGGAGAGAATTTAATAGTAAAATATTTCGAGGTGAACAAATAAAGCAATTTACATATTGCAATCGGAACTTACACTCCAAGAAAATAACCAAAACAAGTGGTCAACATATGCAAACACAGACCTTACTGCGTTAGTAACACAGTAGAAATATGGCGATAAAATAATGCAAAATCAGTCTTAAACCACACATAACATGTAAAATATAACTTGGATCTTGAGTGTTTTTACCTTTCTTAAAATTATAGAACACTTTTCTCAATTTTTAATTTCTTGAAATATTTTGGCTCATCTGGAGGCCTGCAGCTTTAAAACTTTTTTCTGTTATTATGTCATTTTTAATTCTTTAATCCTTACCATATTAAATATCTTAGACAAAATTTTCCATTTTATAATCTAGACTATACTATTCATCAATTGTAGAGACAATTTCAAAATATGTACTGACTGAATAATGAACAGTGCAGACCATGATCAGGTGACGTTGTTGTGTGGCCTGATAATGGTCTGCCCTGGTCGCATGGTCACAAGCAGGCTACAGATAATAATCTATTTTAGGACAAGTGTATTACCTGAAAGAAACCACTAGCTCCTTCAAGATGATTGCAAAGGGCAGGTAACAACTTGACTACTTTTGTTGCAACTTCTAGGGGAGTTAACTGATCCAAGTTAGAGAATCCAACCTTCTTCTCAGCTTTGACCTGAATTAAAATCATAAATTATCTCTTTATCAACTTGCAAAAAAGGAAATGCAATTGACTTGAACACAAAATCACAAAATAATCTGTTCTTTAATATTTCTTTTTTATTTTTTAAAACATGTTTTCATATACTCTGTACAGGCCACTTGGGTCAAATACAACATATGTATTAAATCTTTGAACATAATAATCAGCAAATCAGGCTGCCCTTAGATAAGTATACAACCATGCCAGTCTCCAACTTCATAAAGTTTGACTGAATTTTTTTTAGCTGTTAGCCACATATTTCAAGTAGTTTGAACTAAAATCTTTTTAAACTATCTCAATAAGCAGTTAATCATTCAAAGATCAAGTAAAGTAAACTATTGCACAAATTCAGCAAGCTGATATAAGGCATTCTTAACCTAAATTTTTACCTTGAAAAAAGTCTTCCTTTTTGAAGCTGATGCTAGGAGTGAATGTTCCAGTTTTCTGCAGAGATCTTCCACCAGAAAGTTGACCTGGGCCATCTCTAGAGATAACTCATTTACACCCTGTGTACATATAATAATTAACAAAATAGTTTTTATAATATTTGAAAGTAATTAAACTTCCTGATAGACATAACTTTGAAGACTAATTTTTCTTTATATCACCTGTAAAAAAGAGTTGCCATTGCAATCTATTAAAAAAAAAAAAAGTAAGTTTATAAAGAATTTTTCTAACTCAAATCTCAGATATTTGATTGGTCAACAATTACTGTCAGTATGACAGTATGCTCGACTATTCTCAGTGCTTGATAGCAAAACAAGAGCCTTGATAATATTGAATTTTCTATGTTCAAAAATGAAACATAATTCTGTCAAAATCCATGCTAGAGTAATATCTAACTCCATGTTATAATTCTGTCAAAATCCATACATGTAAGAGTTATGGGCCTTGGACAGTGACCCCCTACTAGGCTCTCAAATAAGTGTGAATTTTAAAAACAAGGTATCATAAAACATTAGTAGTGTGAAACAATTACATGTAATAAGCCAGCCACTTACATGTAACAAAAGCCATAACAATACAGGGGACCTACCTTTGTATTCATATCTGAGTCGAGCATGGCTTGCTTAATAGATCCAGTGTTTAATATTGTGAACACAGATATATCCAACTCCCTGAAAACAGAAATATAATCATACTGTTTATGGGCAGGACCATTAGATGGATTGGCTATGATAGAAAAGTAAAATATTCATATTATTGACAAGTAAGTCATTTGCATATATATAAATGTGGTGTTGGTAGTTTTTCACTCTGAATCACAGCAGTAAGCCACATTTATCAGAGCAAAGTTCAACCACTGCATTGTTCCTGGGCAGGCTGTCAAGTTGTTTACCAGTATTAGTTGCCTTCACTTTCGCAAGGAACTAATAACTTCTGTACATACCATAGCAGAGGACGGTGTAAATGACCATAGAATAGATTTCATGATCAATGACAACGAAAGTGGCCTGCCGATTCAGTCTAATGCTCTACATATTGAGCCGGACGGCTGTATATAATAATATCTCTTATCATAATCAATTACAAGACTAGATACAGTCACTAACAGAAGGCCAAGAATAAGGGTAGTTTATGATCCACTACAAAAAAATGTACCTATTTAAACCTACTAAATTATTAACATTTGGCTTTGAAAAGAATCTTTTACCTGTATTATACAAGTACAATTGACTGTATTCTCAATGTTTCAGAATAGGTTCATAAAATGTTACCTACGGAAAGATTTGTAAGATGCTTTCAGAATAAGTTTATAAAATGATTACCTGAAGAACGGTTTGTAAGATGCTAGACAGACAGATGGTTTGCTATCTTTTCCGCCTCCACCATCAGCTGCCTGAGTTGCTGCCTGTGTGTTGTTCTACAACAAAAATAACATTGTATCTATTACAATGGCTTTTGTCTTGGCATCAAAAAATCAAAGAAGTAAAAAACCCCCACAGAACTTTTATTAACCGTTTCTCTAAAGTTACTAGCATAGCTGTCATAACATATGAATCTTACGATGTCTGTGGGTAACGACTGGAATATCTAGCTTGTATTTGGTTTATACAGAATTTATTTTAGAATGATTGTGAAGAAAGCTTTAAGCTTATAGACACACTTTCAAATTCGTTCCTGGAACCAACCAGTACTGAGCAATAAGTGTAAAGTTTCTTGCTCAAGGAAACAACGGCTTGCCCCTGACGGGGTTTGAACCCATGCGGCTAGCACTCATTAGATTACTAGTCTGACGTGTTAACCACTTGGCCATGCCGCTTGTATTTGAAGTTAACTGTTAATGACAGTAACACTGCTCTGCCATTATTCCACTAAACAGTTTCCCAGCTAGATATTCCCATCTATGATGACAGCCAGTTTTTAATTCTTTTCTTGCATATTATATATCAAACATATTTCAGAAAGAGATTACGTTACCTATTAATTCTTTTACCAGAATGACTTAACTAATATCTATCTCTACTATAATGTTTAAGTTACCATTGTTGTATTATTTAACTGTGAACTATCTCTACTATTGTCATCACTATCTGAAGATGGCTTGTCGGTTTTCTTACCCACAGTTTTCCTACAATCATTTTGGACAAAGATTACTCATTAAATATCATACATGTGTGAATAATGAAAATATTGCATAAGCATGATATTCTCATGTGTTTGTTTGTTTTAATTGGGTTTTACGTCACACCGACACATTATAGGTCATATGGCAACGTTCCAGCTTTACTGGTGGAGGAAGACCTCAGGTGCCCTTCTGTGCATTATTTCAAGCACGAACGGGAACCTGAATAGAACCACCGACGTTCCGTAAGCTAGCTGGATAGCTTCCTCACATGAAAGAATCCAAAGTCCCTGTAGGGATTCGAACCCACAGCTGTGAGGGGCAAGTGGTTTGAAGTCAACAACCTTTACCACTCGGCGACAGACGGCCCTTCTCATTTGTTGTATAGCTACAGTTGTGAAAATTTACATTATGATATCCAGCGTTCATAAATATTCAATGTCAAAACTCAAGCAGTTTTAAGCTTGTTATTCTATTTTTAAGCACAAGTTTTTACCATAAACTTCATTTCATTTTATCCTATGATACAAGAGAAAGAACATCAAAACACTCAGCATTTGATTTATACTTTGGGGCTACATCCCTTGTACAATTCAGATAGCCTTGTGTTTCAATGCTTTTTCTTTCACTCAATACACAGTGATAATATTCAATATTTAGAAAAACATAATATGAGAAGGACAAATTTTGTTGAAAATGACTGCAGTTTTTAATATTTATGCAATCTGACAAGACCTATGAATGTTTCATACTAAATTTTACCATTTAGATTATGAACTTTTTTTCAAAAAAGTACGGAAACGTTAGTTTTAAAACCAAAACAGGACGTACATAACAACAAGTCAGCCATGTAGATGTAAATTATTATAGCTATACAAATAAACATTAACATAAGGAAAATGTTGAGTTTACCTTCCTTTCTTGGCTTTTTTCTTTGTTTCACCTTTTCCACTTGTTCCGGTACTGACAGCTGGTGTAACTGCCTCATCCAAGTCAAAATTAGCCAGTGGTGGCTTAAAGTTGGGAGTTTCTGTACCAGGAAAGGAAAGAAAATCTATTGTCTTAAGCATTTATGTACACATTAACTAATTCAAAGTAATTTGTATAGATAAGATAAACTTAATGTTTGTATAATAAAATATTTTTTTAATATATTTCACTATGTACTGATTACGAAAAAGTGCTCTGGGCCTTACTTGTGACAATTTAGATTTATTGCTGCAACAGTACAACTTTCATTTTTGCTGAAAAAGTTTCTCTCTTACCAAGTGGTTGAGGTCTCTAACATGAAGGACGGAATGCCTGTAGAATTTCCAGCTGTATTGCAATATTGCCATTTTGTTAACTAAGGTAAATGATTTGTTAACACCAGGTTCAGACATGATAAAATGGTTCCAGTTAATTGCAGCAACAAATTTTGGTGAACATACAACCAGAATGAACTCTTATCAAGCCTTTTGAGAACTTACCAAACGAAGCCAGGTATATAGGTCACAACATAAACAATTTTATTCTTAATTGTAGGTTAAACAATCAAGATTGTGGTGCTTATAACTTCTCCATCTTCTTTGATGGTGAAAATTATTATAAGTGTTATGTGTTATATCATGTATTTGTATATGAATAAGAAATCCTAATTGCGAATATGTATCTTTAAATTCTGCACCGTGTCCAATGTTGTGACTGTTTATAATTTAAGATGACTGATGCGGAATAAAATGCAAGTCTTTATGTCTTCAGTACCAATAAAATTTTGTATTTACGCATCTTTCGTTGTTTATTTATTTTTCTCCACTGATTAATAGAAACAAGTGTGTTGTTAATGATACTTTTGTTGAATACTTGTCGTCTGTCACTTTATTCAGATTTCAATTACTTAAACCCATTGATTATTCGAAGTAAATTTTCAGTCCCCAGCAATCTGGATAATCTAGGTTAACCAATTTCTCTGCAAGTGACCCACTACTTATCCCTCATTATTTCTAGAAATAGCAGAGAGAAGACAAATGACCATTTAACTCAATGCCCTAGATAAAATGGCATGGAGAAATTAAACCTCACTTGTGGATCAAACAATCAACCTCTGGTATCACTAATCCAACACTCCCAATTAAGCAAAGCCGGTGGACATAAGCTGTCTCATAAGATTCCTGCTACAACACCCTTCATGTAAACTATAATATACTAGTATAAAGACCGACATCAAATAAATGCATAGTTACCTGGTAAACAAGACAGTATAATCTTCTGTAACTCGGTTATATTGTGGAGCCTCGTGATCACCTTTCCTTTAATCTCAGCATCAGACTGGTTCGAAAAACCATTTACCATCTATAAAAGAATGTAACCGTTCAGATTATTATACTTTACATAAGTTATTCATAGCAGCTTAACCTGACGTTAGTGGGTAACAACTGTTTATGTCACATTGTAACATCACTTTAAGGCCCACTGATATTAGCCAACAGCCATTACAAGTTTTAGTTGAGTTGACATGCCTTCTGAAATACAGCTTTGTTCCTTATAATGAAATACAAATGCCATCCCACCCCAGATAATAGAACAAAATGTTCACCCTTGACAAGATAATGTCACGCAGAAGCCAATGTCATATTTAATGTTATAATTGCAAGGTCTTGGTCATGCAGCAGCCAATTTTAACATGTCTGAATTTTAAGGCTTTTGTCAAGCAGAAGTCAATGCCATACTTCAATATGTCATAATGATTATTTCTTGTTAATGCAGAAGTCAATGCCATATTTCAATATGTCATAATGATAATTTCTTGTTAATGCAGAAGTCAATGCCATATTTCAATATGTCATAATGATAATTTCTTGTTAATGCAGAAGTCAATGCCATATTTCAATATGTCATAATGATAATTTCTTGTTAATGCAGAAGTCAATGCCATATTTCAATATGTCATAATGATAATTTCTTGTTAATGCAGAAGTCAATGCCATATTTCAATATGTCAAAATTTAAGGTCTTTGACATGCAGAAACCAATGTCATATTTCAATATGTCAAACTAAACTCATGATAAGAAGTTTGTTGTTTCAAAGTAATGCTAAGATTAAACCTATTTAGAGAAACAGACAGACAGACAAACAAGCCACACACAACAAGCCTTCATAATTTTTGGGGCCCAGAAAAAGGGGTCAAACATTGAAATTATTAAAAATATATAAAAACATGTTATCAAATCAATGAAATATAAATCTCACCTCTACAAACCAGTTAATACAATAAAACAGTGAAGACACAATAATTTCCTTCTCTCTCGTAGACAATGGCTCAAACTTCTCGTATACATCTTCCTTTGCCAAATATACTGGACAACCTACAATATCAACAATATCTATTTGGTTTTCCTATCGCAAATATCATATAATGAAATACTGAGAAAAAAAACACAAGACCTCTCAGTAGAACAGTGCTTGACTATAAACAACTTGGCCTGTACTTGAAGTTTTTTTCTCTTAATACATGACATAGTTATGAGTCATAGAAATTTGAACTATAATTATAATATCAAAGACATGTGTGAACTTTCTAATGGTTACCATCTGTAGTTACTGATTATGCAGTCAAAATATAAACAAGGATGTTTTTTTTTTGTATATAAAGGGTCATGATTCAGTTAAATCCATGTATAGTTATGGGTCTTGGATACTGCTCTCAATAATAATCAAAAAGTCTTGCATCAATTTTAAATTGAATACCTTCAATAGTTTGAAGATTCATCTTGCACTGCAAATTTTTAAGAAATGTTTTTTTTTCAAGTTCACAGGCCATAGTTGTCAGACGGGGTTTAAACCCATGCCGATAGTAAATCTGATGTGTTAACCACTCGGCCATGCTGCCACTTCAGTAGCTTGAAGATTGATTGCAAAACTTTAAGTCAGGCTTAGTTCAAGTTCACAGGTCATAATTCTCAGAATCACTCTATCTCAACTGTTAATGGATAGGGTGACTTTCGGGTCTAAGAGGGACCTTAAATTTTTCAAGAAAAATTTCCCTTTAGCTAAGGGAAGGTTAATTTTACTACGAAAATGCCTGCTCATGCCTGAATTTAGGCATGAAGGGATACATTTTACTTTTATTTTCCTATTAATCCTAACAACACTAAATATCTTGAATGGACTCATCTGTCTTTCCATCTGGACAAGACCATTCAAAATTTCATCATTTTTTGGGGGAAAAAATGAAATATCAAAATATGTTGGAGAGAATGTCAAAAGAGTGATGCCATGATTTTCATGGGTAGACCCTGTAGCCAATAGCAGACTAATGGTTAAACTAGAAAATTATTACATGATCATTTACTGACTGTATGGCTTAAAAACAACTTGTTGTACAACAACTACAAATTTCACCAAAGTTCATGCAATGCAAAATAAGCCAATCTCAGCTAAGTTCATGTAAATTTTACGAACATCATGCTAAATTACTTTTACATTCTTGATTTGGTTTACCTAGTAAAGCATCTATATTCTCCAGGGTACCATGCTGTCGTTCTTCACAAACTCTCAATAGTCGTACAGAAGGGGACATACAGAGGGGGTCTGTTACTCCACTGAAACATAAAAATCATAAACATACATGCACATCTCCTCATCTTTTAATTAAATAGGAAGTTTTCATTAATTTTTTCCCTGAATTTATTAAGAATTAGACGTAGCCCTAACTATTTACCCAATGAAAATTTCTAAGTTTGAAAGTTTTTGACAGTCTATTATGCTTAAAGTTGGTAAGCAACTTTAAAGAAAAGAACAAAAAACTTTAAACAGCTAGTCACACATTCTCTGCTCATTTAGAGCTGTTTAGTTTTAATATTCTTAAAATTTTCCCTCAAAGTGATGAACAGTTTTGTACAGATTGAAAGATAGACAAGTCCATTTCAATCAGAAATTTAGCTTGAGGTAATGGTTAAAAGAAAATTCTACAAGTTAGAATGACCTCAGGTTTTACAAATGTGGAAAAGGTAGGAACTGTTTATTCAAATATAACAAAATAGAAGAAATAAATCATACAAACCTTTCAGTATATGCAGTTAGAGCAGTTTTACAGGCATATTTCTGTACAACCAGTGGTAGAAGGTTTATGGCAATACCTCCATCTCTTTCATCATCTAACCCATGTACACTTGCTACTGGTATATTACCACTCCTGTAATAATAAAAGCACTTTATTTATATAAACCAACAAAACAATTAACACATATTCAAATCATAATTGAGCCGCGCCATGACAAAAGCAACGTAATGCGTTTGCGACCAGCATGGATCCTGATCAGACTGCGTGGATACGCAGGCTGGTCTGGATCCAGATGTGTTCGCTATCAGTTTCTCTACTTGTTATAGGGTTTGTAAGCGAACAGCATGGATCCTGATCAGACTACACGGATGCGCAGGCTGGTCTGGATCCATGCTGGTCGCAAACGCATTACGTTGGTTTTGTCATGGCGTGGCTCAAATGATATTTCAAGTTCTGGGAGCAACATTTTCTACACCAGCCACCAATACTGACTAGTACTGATCAAGATCAGACTGCGCATTTGTTCCATCTGATCATGGTCTGCACTGTTCAATATTAAGACAGTAGTAATTTTGAAATTTTCCTTAAAAATGATGATTTGTTGAGACTAAAAGATGGAAAAAAAAACCATTTAAGTTATTAATCAGTGGTTAGGGTAAGTACACAAGTCATTTTTTCAAATTGATGAGCAACGTTTGACATCTAGTAAGAGGCAATATTAAAGGTCCAATAGACTATGCATTTATAATTTACTACATTGTAACAGCCAATCTTTATTAACTGCATGATACAAGACTTTTAAGTGATCTATACGAATGTTGGGGAATCAACATTTATCATCAATAAATACATACTCTTCAGGCACACCATCTGCAATATCAACAACAAAGTTTTCCTGGAAATCCACTGTCAAATTCTCACTGATCCAATTCTACAACGAATGCCAATACATTAAATTTTAATTTCATATTCATTACATTAGTGTGTTTATAACAATTATATAAGTATTATATTATTTAAAATGAATTCTCCTGGTATTGACATAAACTATTTGATTTTTCTAAATATTGTTATAGTTTCTTTTGCCTGGTTAAATGGCCTATACTTGGTCATATTCCAAATTGAAAATAATATCTTCCTTCCCAAAGTTCTTCAATTATATGTAACAGTACAGATTTTTTTTCATTTTGACATGTACCTCAACTTTAGACTGAAGTTTTCCTTGAGCTATGATGGTAGACAGTTCATCCATAAAGAGAGCAAAGGCTTCTGGGGATTTACTGCTACTTGATCGTACCAGGGTTAGTAGGCTCGTAACCTGCTTATATAGGTCAGGACTTAGCTCTTCCTGTGTGCACGAGTTTTCTGTGCTCTCCTCAATATTGCTGTACAAAAATTGAAATATTTATGAGTTAAAGCAGCATGCCTCCAGATTCTTGCTAATTTTTAAGAAAATGTATTTAAAAGTAAAATATTGAAAAGGAAACAAAGAAAGTAACTAACACATAGCAAACAGCACTAATAATTCACATAAGTTACCAAAAATAAGTCAAAATATGCAAAAATAGCACTTACTGCCTTAGTAGCTGAGTAGAAAACTGCATAAGTAACTCAGTAGAAATATGATGATAAGTACTGCAAAATCCTTCATTAGTGGCACATAACATGTAAATTTCATTGGTTGAATTTTTAATCTTTTTACTTTTCCAAAAATCTTAAAACATTTATCGAAGTATGAATTTTATGAAATATTTTGGCTTATCTAGAGGCATGCAGCTTTAGTATTGCAATGAGCATTATATATCAGAACCCCATTCATAATGGAATGTGATTATTGGGTGTAATTTACTAATTTCTAGTGACATAGTCTCTGTTGTATTTAAAAACACGCCAAAAATTTTAAGCTTTTAACATTATATGAAAATCAGTTATGTGTGAAGAAAATGGCAAATGGCAATTGAAACTTATTTTCATTATATCAACAAAATAAATACAAAGCAATATAATATTACAAATTGCTTTCACCTTTAAATAACAAAAATATCAAGATTCTAGGAAAGGTGGGGGAGGGGAGGGGGGAGAAAAAAAAAACATACCTAGTTTGAGCAATACAACTCACTATCATCACTGCCCCTATTACCCCCATTCTCTTATACCTGAAAATATAAATCATATATATAACAACCCCTGTTCACATCACTTTTATAAACAATAGTAATATTCTTAAACTTACAAATATGTGTAGATTTATATGGCTACTGTACTGTAGAGTGGTACATTAAAAATATTACGTAACAATATGTAAAGGATATTTAAGGGTTTTTTTCAGTAAAAAAAATCAATATATTTATTTTCAAAGAAAATAAATCCTTTATGTATAAAAGAAACTTGAACTTTTTGTTTATTATATACATTTTTCTCTTTTTTGGCATTACAAATTGAAAGACTTCCCCTTAAATTTTGTGTACTGGCTGAAATTTAGAAGAAAGTAGTTTGGCAAGACAACTGTGAAAATACGAAAAAATATGTTTCATTGCAGTGAAAAATAATTTTTTACTTTGAAAAATATGGAAAATAAAAAAAATCATTAAAATTTTTCAATATTTCATTTGTAAGTGTATTAATCTATATATATGGTTGGTTTAAACATATTTATTTTAAGCTTGATTGCGAAACAAGTTCTTGCAATTTATATTAATCACTTTCGAGTCCTCTTCCTGGAATCAACCAGTACTAGTGTCATATGAAGAAACATGGTCGTGACCCGAGTAGGGCTCAAACCCATGATCTCTGGTTTGAAAGGCAGACACCTTAACCACTAGGCCACCGCTCCCCTTAATATATGGTTTATTTGATGTTATAAATGAACAATAACATGCATATTGAGGAATCAAAATCAACCAAGTACCTGTTATAGGAACAAGGTTAAAGAAACTAACATCAAATAATAATCACAACAAAATTATAACCTTAGAAAAATACTTACTTTGGATTATTGTTTGAAAGCTGTTTTCTTATTACAATATGTAGATCATCCTGAAATAACAGAACAGCATGTACAGTGAAATAGTGAAAGAAAGAATAAAAGTCTTACAAGTTCACTGGTATATGCAACAACATTCTTTAACCCTGTCTTTGCAGGCATAGACTGATTTTGTCCATATGGCCAGGGCAGACCAAGATTTGCCAGCAAAAAAGTGCCTTCTAATTATAGTCTGCATTTTATACAATTTAAAAAATTTATTAGTGAACAATATGGCTGTACATTTGTGAAATAAGCAAAGTTTTTCTTGCTGCCTCCTTTCTTACAGATCTATTGACAATTAAGATTGCCATGTTTATTACATGATGAGGCTTTTTAACCTTTTCTCTCCTAGAAAGGTTAAAGGAACTGCCATACTTTAAGAATGAGGCAATCCCTTACTATAAGAAGCATTTGCATAGGTACGATTATATAGGGGAGGACTGTGTGGTTAAGGTACTTGACTTCAAACCACTTGTCCCTCACTTACGTGGGTTCAATCCTAAAATAATGCACGGAAGGGCACCTGAAGTCTTCCTCCACCAGTAAAGCTAGAATGTCGCCAAATGACATATACTGTGTCAGTGTGGCGTAAAACCCAAACAAACAAACATGATAATATGGCTAGTATAGAGGTTAACACTAATGAGATGTTACATATTTTTTGTTGCTATAGTTACCTGTATCAGACCTCCTTCTTGGGGATTTTTAAAGGCCAGGGCACTCAGCATAAAATACAGTTTTCTAATCTGACACACTGACAGATTATCCAGATAGTCCAGTACACTCTGAAAATATCATTTAATATAAATATAGTAACACAAAACATAATGTAGTTTGTGCACCAAAATATTTTCCTCCATTTTCAGAATACACAAAACAAGACAATTAACATGCTAAAGTAAGGCAGTTTAGTTTTAGAACATGTGTTTTTTTTTGTTTGTTTGTGTTTGCCGTAGCTAATTCAATACTTAAAAGTAATTTTTGGGCTGACAGAAATCATTACTATTATGTAATTATGGTTTATTATGACAAGATATTATGAATCTGAAGACACTCAATATGTGTATCAGAAGGGAAAGATGAATGACAATGGACTTTGATATAATGTCTTCTTCCAAATCTTCAGTAAGTAAATCCTTTTTTTTTTTAAGTGTTAAAGAAATACTTAACAAATAATGTTGTTTCTCGATTGTGACCAAGAAAAGGATTTGGACTGTCACTGATATAAAATTTTATATTGATATATCAAAGGAATATCCACATTATATTAAAGTAAATGGCCAGTAAAATGGAAATCATTAAGTTATAAACTGTCATCATGGTGTTACATGCTTGTTTTAGACATTACAATCACAAAGTACTAAAAGAAGGTAATTATTAATATTTCTCACTAACCTCTGAAAATAAAAATTCATTGTTCAAAGTTAATCTAGGAAAAGGGAGAAAAATAAATGACCTCTATTCTGACAAAATAGGAAGATTTTTGCACAAGACAGGAAGAAATAGGGATTTAAATTGTATCGATTTTCTATATTGTGAATTATTTTGTCTCAAATCCTGAAATTCAATGGTATATCAATACTAAGATTTTCAATGTCAGCCCTAAAAACGATGTTTTGTTTCCTCAAGTTAACTGTAATAAAATCATCCTGTTCTTAAAATCCTTTATAATTATGCTTTCTCATACTTTTTACTTAATGACAACAAACAATATATAGAACAAACCTTAACAAGGATAGCAAAAGGTGCCATCTTTGGCAGATGATGATTCACTAGGTAAGCTAGAATATCTAGCGAGGCATCTATTTCACCCTCAAACCCACTTCCAATGTGCGCAACAAGGTTACCAACTATCTCCTGTAAATGGTACAACAATGGTAGATCATATATTTCAAATATAAAGTAAGGTAATGATTAAATGAGCCATGTCACGACAAAACCAACATAATGCATTTGCGACCAGCATGGATCCAGAACAGCCTGCACATCCGCGCAGTCTGATCAGGATCCATGTTGTTCGCTTACCAACTCTATTACAAGTATAGAAACTGATAGCGAACAGCATGGATCCTGATCAGACTGCGCGGATGCGCAGGCTGGTCTGGATCCATGCTGGTCACAAACCCACTATGTTGTTTTGTCGTGACACAGCTCAAATGTCAATATCAGAGATATTTTAGACCTCTATATAACCATGGTTCATTTCAAAATGTCAGAAAACCTGAAAAGTCTTAATTTAGCATTACTTCAAATGGTTTCTCATAGAACAAGATTGCTTTCAGGAGCATTAAAAAACCCTGAAATTAAGGTAAATGCCTAAAAACTTGTACAACAGCACAACAATGGGACATATTTGGACTGGTACCAAACTGCTGGAGAAATGATATAGGACAAGCCTCGAGGCTCTAGTTCAGAGGAGTATTGTGTCTCGGTATTAACAATGTCACATTATCAGTAAATATGTTATGTCAAAGAATAACGCTGTCCACAAAAAGACAAACGGACTGAACAAAAGCAGTATGTCCTTTTAACAAAACTATTAATTTAGGGGCCAGAGCCATTATATAAATATCATTACACTTTGGACTTAATGATATTTTAATAACTCTTCACTGTATTTACCCATAACCTGCTGAATTTTTGTAATGGATCTGATCTAAATTTGAAACAGTCAATTCAAAGTTTAAAGGATTTCAATATCAAAATACATAGTTTGAGCTACCCAAAGAATAAATCCTGGTGAGATTACATGAAAGTGCAAGCCAGCCTGACTCTACACTGTTTGCAAAGACTAAACATTTTTGGTTGCACATGGTCAGGGTTAAGATACAATTTGAGCAAATGGTAAAGATGTCTGTCGGGAATCGGTGCATGTCCTGCTCTTACATTATGGTCTCTTCAGACGCTACACATTGTTGTACATATTTTGTACATATTCATATATAGCAGTCAATTGGTGAAGGTCAAACCTGGAAAAAGGGTTGAAAATGTTTAAAATATCAATTAATTAAACTTAATGTTACCTGTTGATGGTAGGCATCTAATGTGATGAATGTTTGTTTATACAGAGCTGATCCAAAATACGAGACTGGCAATTCTGGTGATCTTAGTAAAACCTCCGACAAGCTAAGTAATGACTGGAAATACCCCTTTAGTACCTGAAATACAGAGATTATTTGAGCTTTATGTTGTTCTTAACATTTAATCTGCTGACTTTGTTTAATAGACTCGCCCTGCCCTGCCGGCATAATGGAACTAACAAATTTGTATAAAGTAAAGCAGACCTTGCCCAATATAGGTATATAGGTGGCATGGGTTTATCATTAGCTATAAAAATAGGTATTGTACATTACTGTAAAATCAAATTATTTTGCAATGGATTAAATTTCTGTGATTTTTTGATTGAACATTTTCATGAATTTTTTTTTTATAACAAATTTAACAGAACTGAATGCAAAAATTAGTGAATGTTTAACCTTGATGTTGATTTTGTATAAATGTAAGAATTTGGCCTCGTAAAAATATCTAATTTTACACTAGATGCCTGAACAACATGAACATTAGAGCAAAGCTATTTCAAAAATTCACTCATGAATGATACAGAATTGACTTAAGTCATTCAATGTGGACATTAAGGTCAACGACCTGTTTGAAATTAAAGAGATAACACTATAAAAATACTAAAATTGATTAGACGAAAGTATAAAATCTCTTTAGACTTCACATATAATTATGCTGTCCTGCCTGGCTCTACATGTGGGTCTATCATTGACATCACATGACCTCAAAAAAAGTAAACAACATACCTGTGAATGGACACTGTAGATAGATTTGATATACGCCTCCGTAAAACATCCTGCTCTAATCTTATTCCTGAACAAACTCTCCACAACTTTTTTCCTTGGTGTACCATGAAGAATGAGTAACATAAACAAGTCTATAACCTTGTGATCACTGGGCTGTTTTACTGACTCTATTGCCTACAAAAACAAATTATTTTAACTAATTAAACACAACAATAGTCAATATGCTCATATATTTTTCTAAAATGGCAAAATTTATATAAAGAGAAAAGATAGAAGACTGCTTGTCTTTATGTAGAAGCACTTGGGTGGCACATTTTACGTCACAACAACTCTGGTAGACATTTGAGTGGCAGGTTTAACATCACATCTCTACTAGGCATTTGAGATGCAGTGTTTTCATCACAAAATCTCTGGAAGCATCTGGATGGAAAGTTTTATGTCACAACCACTGTAGTAATGATGTTTTATCAACTATCCAGTTGTTCTCACAAAGAAAGAACCAAGATGCATTTTCAGACCACGGAAAAACGTGACAAGAATGACACCACCAACTTGACATATACTAGCTGGATAGTTTAATCACACGAGGCATGTAATTCAAAATCAATGATTGTTACCATACAGTCAATCACTAAAAATAACTAGCCACACATAAAATGTTTTAATAGTATTTTTGTTTTCTTTATCGGAATATAAAAATAATTGTCTTCATACAAATAAGAAAATTACACACACTAAGTAAATAATTAGTTACATTTTGACGAATGTCCAAATTGCTGCTTTATGACCTAAAACCAATGTAAAGCTATTTAGACAAGGTCAAAAATTTGTTTGATGAAAGCAAAAAATATATCTTTATAATAATATAGTATAAACAGACTCAAACATACTTTGATAAGGGCGTCCCCGACATGTCTCTGGAATCGTACAGCAGATTTTACCGTCTCTAGAATAATTGTCTCCACATCCTCACTGCAGCTAGCATCTCCACTTGACCTATACAATAAATTCAAAATATTATGATGTTGGAAAATATAAATGCATAAGACATAGTTCCATATCATACAAATACTGCAGACAATCTTACTTTGAAGACAAGACTAAAGCTTGGAATGTTTTAAGAGGTGTTTCTTCTTATTTCAGGAATAAAGCTTTAACATTTTATTGTAACAGTAGTCAAAGAAACCTTCAATTGTGACACTTGCTTTCCTGGTTATGAAAGAGGTCTTTGTAATGTTAGGCTCCTGTGTTACAGTGGAAAAAACAACAACAATGATTTACAATAAATGATTGATCCAAAAATTCACATCAATTCACATCAAACTAAATTAAGAAAGATAAAATCAGGTTCAGAAGCTGCAATACAAGGCTTACATGTGTTAAGTAAAATGGAATGATTATCACTTTTTACAATTTTTTTCTTGACTCCAGCTAAAGGTGAAATCACGTACTACTGTGGAATTCACTGCAGGCTACTTTTGTAAAACCATAATACATAATAACATATTGAAGCCATTCATGTCTGCATAACAGCTGACCTCTTAAATTTTCAAAGGTTTCTTTAGCATTGTGAGAGAATAGGCCTACTGTCTTTGGAGAAATAAATAAAATCATGATTGCTCAAGTATTTTCATGTAATTATTAATCAATCAAGAAAAGATTTAAAGTGGCATTAGGCCTATAACTGTACTACTTGCCAAAAAGCAACAGAAGCAAAAGATGGTTCAGATAATTGGCCAATAAGTTACTGTAAATTCAAATCTTGCTTATCATGCAGCTTATATAGGTGATCCATAAAAATTTAAATTTTAAAATCATAAACAAGCAAAAATATATTTTAAGTAAACCTAAATGAGCTTACCCTTTTCTCTTTTTACCACTTCCTTTTTTAGCAGTAGATGTGTCAAATTCTAAATTTGCTCTCAATTCTGTAACAACCTATGGGCATAAAAAATATTATGAGCAAGACTTTAAACTTATGGAAGACTTATTTCATTCTGAAGTACTCAAAATAAACAAGGTAGAAAATGTACATACAAATATTAATTACGGTATAAACTCTAAGCCAGCTTGCAGTAACATGTAATCAGTGCAGCCCTAGATCAGCTGGCACAGATTATGGTCTGCACTGTTCACTACATTGTATTCAGTCAGTACATTTTTTGAAAATTACCCTAAAGATGAATAATGGTTTTGTTCACATTGAAAGTTGGACAAGTCTATTTAAGATATTGAGCATTGTTAGGTTTAATATTCAGATAAATGTCAACATCAAAGTTGTCTTTAGCTTCTTTTCTTTTATCATAAGTCAATCACAGATCAGTCCTGAAATTGTCATAATCATTTGAATGCAATAATGATTAATTAAACAGCATTTGTTTTGACTAGTCCATATGTTATGGTGACTAATTTGGTACACTGTGCATTACATTGTCGATAGCGACAACGCAACCTATATTGTTATCGCCTTTTCGGCCTTGTTGCTAGCGACAAGGCGCCAAACGGCGCGTTGTCCCACTGTTGTCCTGTCTCTAGGGAAGCACACCAAACGGCGCGTTGTCCAGTGGCACGTTGTCATGATGTCGCCCTGTCGCTTGGCTTATAAGCCAATCCTTCAATTTGAACCAAGCGACAATGTGTCATCGCAACAACACCCTGCATGACAATGCGCCGTTTGGTGTACATCTTTAGCAACAGGACGACAAGACGGAAGTCTGACAACGCGCCGTTTGGCGCCTTGTCATGTTGTCGCAAGCGCAAACACGACGCACAAAGTGTTTCAAATCAGCCACCATAAAATGTACCACTTATTACTCAATATTATTTTAATGATGCTAAAACTTTTTGAACAAATTACAATCTAAAATTCTTATATAAGTATTGCAGCTTTAAACAAATTCAAGACATTTTTCATGTAATATCTAAATCAAAGAAAACATAAATTTTTAGCTGCCATGAAATCCATCTTCTTAAAATAAATTTACTAAACACGCTGTCTCATGAACTCTGAATGAATAATAATAATTTGTACCTGTAGAGCATCTGCACTAGTTACTGACTGCAACAAAAACTTGACCAGTACTGGTAGATCCTCCAATTCTACTGATATCAACGACTGGAGCACTGAGTCACGAATCTACAAGAAATAGGGTATAATTATAAATTAATCTAAAAGAAACTATCCATAATTTGACAAATACAAAAATAATATAAATGCATGAAGGAGTTTCTACAAACGTTTCTCAGAGAAGCTGTTTTTAAATCATGGAAAGCTTGCAACAACAATGATTTTTTTATGCTTCCAGTATAAATAGCCAGGAGTCTGACTGTGCTAAAGTGACAGTTACAAACTCAAAGCAGGACAAGCCTGTAAAGCAAATTTAGACTATGGTTTAAAACTGTGTGTGATAAAAACATAACATTTTCTGATTGATAATGTTTTGTACCATTGAATACCTGTTAATTTCATCATGCAAATGCATTTACAATGTAGGTAGAAGCATTTAAGTTTCACCACATACCTCTAAGAGTAGGACAGGGGTCAGTATAAGGTTAGACATGGCATCTAGAACTGTAACAGTCAACTGTTGATTCTCATTCATCAGATCTCTGGAAAAAATAGGAACAGTTATGCTATCACTTAAATAAATGATGTATTTCAATGAAAAAATGTGTTTTCATTGTAATAAGTCTATCATTAACTTTCAATAAATTTATCATGAACTTATGAAAATTTGATACGTTTTTACCAAAAACCATGAGTAATAACATAAAGTTACAATATTTATAGGATCTCACATTAGTTTAAAGCCTAGGAAAAGTGTTGTAAATGCGCCTGTGGAGGAGTTTAACAAAGTTTTTCTAAAATGACAACAAATGTATGAAATATATATCACATGAATTTTTAATTTTTAAGACAGAAAACACTAAAAAATGGTAAAAAAAAACTTTGATGGGCCATTCTTATACATTTTTGTATTTCATACATATAATATTACACAAATATGATCAAAGAACCGGCTGATCTTTGTCTGCACAGGTTGCATGGGTAGTTTCTGTTGTCGCTAACAGGCTTAACGTTAAGATCACATTGTGTTTTTACCTCAATGCCATAGCAACCTGGGTATGTTCCGAGTCTTGTACAATATCTGGCAGACATGAGATTATCTCCCTTTGAACATCTTCACAGGTTATTGACACCATCTCTAGTAACTTTTCTGTCACTTCCTGGATAAAAGATATGAAAATACTTGTTCAAATGATGTTTAGAAAAAACTGAAAGTGAATAAAAGCATTGAAAAATTCATTTTCCCAAAATGACATATGTTCATTTTGCAGTTCTAAAAGGTAGTTGACTTTGTAGTTCTGAGGCCAAGAAATATCCGACAACCAGTATTCTGATTGTCATTGATCTTTATTTCTTGTATAGTGGCAACTATTAATATCTCTTCAAAAATTAATTTTCAGTACATGTATTTGTATCTATCCATTTCTATAATATCCCTTGTATTAGTTACACTTGTTCACTTTTAATGACTCCCATTCTTGTATTTTGTAAAAAATAATATTTGTAAAATCACTGTGGGATGTGCACTGAACCACAAATGTTTGAGTAGACAAATATATATGTTTACCTTATATGGCGAACAAAAAACACAAATTCACTGCAAGAATCTACTGTGATACGAGATGTACTAACCTTGCTGTTAACAATGTGATCAAGCCATTGAAACTGAGAGAGAAGAAGATGAGGAATGTTCACTTTCTGACCTTGCTCCAATATCACACAACTGTAACATATATGTAACATAAATATAAATATGTCTTGTATTTTATAGCTCAAACCAAAACTTATATTTGTAATACAGTCAAACGTGTATTAAGCGACCGGGCAAGGGAAACACCAAAAACGGTCGCTTAATGAAACGGTCTCTTAAGACAGTCAGCATGACATAAAAGTCAAAATTTATAAATGACATCTTTTTTATTCGATGGGATTGGTTTTCAACTTCATTTTTATATAAATGTTGAATAATAAGTACGCCCCGATAATCTAAATGGATGCAAATGTAACAAGAAACATGGCAATGCCATGAAACCAGGTTTTCAATTATCACCATTCTGGATAAATATGTTGTATTTAAAATACAAATACAAGCAACAAACAATGTAACTATGTGCAATGTTAAACATGAATAATGTAGGAGGAATTGCCACTGAAGAAGTGTTCACTATATATTCTGTATAAGGGGGAAAAAAAGGGCCATAATTAGGTCAACAATTATCCAATCACAAAACCCCGACAATATGTGCCAGGGCGCTTGGTGACAAAGCTTCTGTGAAAGTTTGAACAAAATCCGTTGAGAAATGTAGGACGAGTTCAGCACAGAAGAATTTGTTCACTATATATTGATAATTCTGTATAAGGAAAAAAAACAAAGGGCCATGATTAGGTCAAATATTATCCAATCACAAAACCCAGACAATATGCGCCAGGGCACTTGATAACAAAGCTTCAGTGAAAGTTTGGTCAAAATCTGTTGAGAAATGTAGGAGAAGTTGCGCACGATAGAAATTGTTCACTATATATTCTGTATAAGGAAAAAAAAAAGGGCCATAATTAGGTCAAATATTATCCAATCACAAAACCCTGACAATATGCGCCAGGGCACATGATGACAAAGCTTCTGTGAAAGTTTGAACAAAATCCCTTGAGAATTGTAGAGGGAGTTCAGCACAGAAGAAATTGTTCACTATATATTCTATATAATGAAAAAAACAAAGGGCAATAATTAGGTCAAATATTATCCAATCGCAAAACCCCAACAATATGCCCCAGGGCACTTGGTGACAAAGGTTCTGTGAAAGTTTGGTCAAAATCCGTGGAGAAATGTAGGAGGAGTTGCGCACAGAAGATATTGTTCACTATATATTCTTTATAAGGAAAAAAAACAAAGGGCCGTAATTAGGTCAAATATTATCCAATCGCAAAACCCAGACAATATGCCCAAGGGCAATTGATGACAAAGCTTCTGTGAAAGTTTGGTCAAAATCCGTTGAGAAATGTAGAAGGAGTTGCGCACAGAAGAAATTGTTCACTATATATTCTATATAAGGAAAAAAAACAAAGGGCCATAATTAGGTCAAATATTATCCAATCGCAAAACCCCGACAATATGCGCCAGGGCACTTGATGACAAAGCTTCTGTGAAAGTTTGGTCAAAATCCGTTGAGAAATGTAGAAGGAGTTGCGCACAGAAGAAATTGTTCACTATATATTCTATATAAGGAAAAAAAACAAAGGGCCATAATTAGGTCAAATATTATCCAATCGCAAAACCCCGACAATATGCGCCAGGGCACTTGATGACAAAGCTTCTGTGAAAGTTTGGTCAAAATCCGTTGAGAAATGTAGAAGGAGTTGCGCACAGAAGAAATTGTTTACGCCCGCCCGCCGACATACCTCAATCTAATAACCAGTTTTTTCCTTCGGAAAACCTGGTTAAAAATAACATTCTGATATTTATTGACAAAACAGTTTTGATCCATTACGTACATGTTTGACATTTTTTTCAGAATTTCTTAACTTCTCCGTTGTTTTTCCTTGTCTCCAACACGAAAACCCTATTAGTGAAGATGTTTTCTGTTGTGCATTTTTTCATTTGAAATAAACAAACTACATCTATTTGTTACGATTAATTTAATGGCTGATCAAGTTCAAGGTCAATTCAATGCAGTCTAAATGTCAACAAGCGAAGCGTATACACCATCTCAGTATGGGCGGAGCATTGCATTGTTTATCCGATATTATTGGATTATACACGTCACGCGTATACTTAACTTCATTTGCATATGCTAAAACGGTATGGGAAATAGAGTTTTTCACACGTTTATTGTTGTGTTTTGATTGCTGACACTTGTGACATAACGAGGTGGCGTTCTCTAAAAACACAATTACTTGACAGGTAAAAGTGGTCGTTTAATGAAAAGATTGATGTCAATTAGGTTACTAATTAGCGGTCGCTGGTCGCGTTGAGCAAAAGTCGCTTAATACATTAAAGATATAGAGAGAAAATGATCGGGGGAATTTAAAGTGGTCGTTTAAGACAAAAGTCGCTTAATACACGTGGTCGCATGGGCAAGTTAGACTGTAATAAAAGTACTGATAAGGAATAAATATAGATATATAAAAGCAAGCATCCTGGTTTTACTATCTACCAGAAATGTATCGGTAGGCCTTATTTGGCCCACCATCATATAATACAGAAAAAATCTAGGATAAAATGGTTAATTACTGTAGAAGCAACCATTTTTTGATAAAATTAACAATTATCCAAAAGAAATTTTAACTATACATCAAAAAGATAGTTCTGTTAATAACCTCATATGAGTGGCAGCCATCTTTATTTTTAAGTACTTAATACCAGGAATGACTTTTAAACAATCCATAAAAAATTAACAAGAGGGCCATGATGGCCCTGAAGTCGCTCACCTGTATATAGGCCCCTGGAACGGGGCAAGTTTAAACCCCAGGGCTTTTATTTGAACAAACTTGGTAGACACCCATTAGAATATGTTTCATGCTAAACATCTAAGGTCTAGCACCTTGGGTTTTTTAAAAGAAGATTTTTTCAAGTTTTTTCTTTACACATATAGTTAAAAACAATGACACACCTGGGGCAGGACCAGTTTTCACCCCAGGGATTTTATTTAAACAATCTTTGTAGACACTTACTATAAATCGTCTCATGCTTAATATCTAAACTCTAGCTATTCGGGTTTTTTCAAAGAAGATTTTTAAGTTTTTGCTATACACATATAAGGAAAATCAATGTCTCCTGAGGCCGGCCAATTTTGACCCCAGGGGTTTTTTTTAAACAAACTTCGTAGACACTCACTAGAAGATGCTTCGTGCTTAATATCTAAACTCTAGCTATTTGAGTTTTTTCAAAGTAGATTTTTTAAGTTCTTGTTATACACATATAAGGAAAATGAATGACCCCCGGGGCGGGGCCAATTTTGACCCCAGGGCTTTTATTTGAACAAACTTGGTAGACACTCACTAGAAGATGTTTCATGCTTAGTATCTATACTCTAGCTATTTGGGTTCTTTAAAAGAAGATTTTTTAAGTTTTTACTATATGCATATAGGGAAAATCAATGACACCCTGGGGCGGGGCCAATTTTGGCCCCAGGGCTTTTATTTGAACAAACTTGTTAAACACCCATTAGAACATGTTTCATGCTAAATATCTTAGCTCTAGCTCTTTGGGTTCTTTAAAAGAAGATTTTTTAAAGTTTTTACTATATGCATATAGGGAAAATCAATGATCCCCTGGGGCGGGGCCAATTTTGACCCCAGGGCTTTTATTTGAACAAACTTGGTAGACACTCACTAGAAGATGTTTTATGCCAAATATCTAAGCTCTAGCTCTTTGGGTTTTCTAGAAGAAGATATTTAAAGTTTTTTCTTTTGGTTTCCATTGCAACAAGAGTGCTGCATGGAATTAAAATCTTTGAACAATTTTCAAAGGTGACCACCAAAGGAACATTCCTGTGAAGTTTGGATGAAATTGGCTTAGTGGTTTATGAGGAGATGTCATTTAAAGTAAAAGTTTACGGACGCCGGACGGATGCCGGACGAAAAGCGATCACAAAAGCTCACCCTGTCACTTTGTGACAGGTGAGCTAAAAACACATGTAAATGGAACATTATTGCTAATGAAACTAAAGCTTTATTCAATATTTATCAATTATCACACAGTAAAAGGGTAAAAATTTGTTAAGTATTTGCAGACACATTCAAAATGTCATGTTGGGTCCAAATCGTTAGCAATACTACTGGATTTGTGTGAAAAACATTTAAGTGAATAGGGTTATTAAAACTTTGAATTTTCTTTAAAAAATGCCATATTTTGTATGAAATTAATGTGAAAATATACTTGCATACAAAATAATTTTTTTATGTAAGTATTATTTGTAATATCTGGACATTTCTGGTACAGAGTAATAACCTCCTGGTATAAAGTACATTAAGAATAGATAAGTTTGGAATATTTCTTTTTTCAACATAATCAAAAGTATAATTATAAATTATATACTCCTCTTCTCCAGTGAACTCTGGTAGTTTTTCCAGTAACACTGTCATCAAAGGTGGCTAAAAAAGAAATGGTTAAAACTTGAGTTGTGTATATCACACAAACATCAAATGGCAATTTAACCAACAGCCTGCTGGAAACAAAAGCAATTTTCCACATGACCAGTATTGTCAGGTCAGTCTTTAATAAAATATTTGATATATTCGATACTGCAGCAGGTTATGTTCATTAATCAAATTTCTAAATAATAATTTAATTAACATGTTCTATACGATAAAGTAATCAAGACTTCAAATTTGCTAGAAGACTTTTTTGCTATTTCAATTGCAGTGCATTTTTTCCTTTACATATTAAATCAAAGGGAAATAATTACTGGTACCTAAAACATTAACAGCTTAGAAATTACGTCCCTTGATTAAAAGAAAACAACATTTATGTTTTAAACTACTTTATATCTGAAATATAATGCATTTTCCCCTTTAATTACTGCATATTAATATTCAAAATTTACAAATATCTTTTCTACAAACCTGTATAGTATCAACTCCCATCAAAATTTTTACAACACTTTCTTGGAATCCACTTCGGGCACTGAAACACATTCAAGAGTAGTACAGAGTCAATAATACTAAATATGCACATTTCAACACTTTGTTTTTAAGATAACCTTTTCCTTTGGTGAAATTCATTGCCAGTTTACATTCAATCATAAATGTTGAAATAATCATGTTCAAATATATCTTGAGGATTCTCGTTCTAGCCAACACTTTTTTAACAAGGGCTGTCCTTAAGACGATTCTAAGTGCTTGAAAGAAAAGGGGCATTACTTTGTAAAAGGTAATGGCACATCTTGTTGGACAATCACAGTGAAGTTTCAACCCATTCCATTCAGTAGTTCTGGAGATACCAACTTGCATGCAAAAACTTGACCTAAGTGTGATGCTGATACCAAGGTTTTACAATAGCTCATATTCTTTGAGTAGTCAAGCTAGAAACTGGTTAATACGGTATAACTACCAGTCAAATTAAATCTCTCCATCTTAATATCAAAAGTATTATCCTAATACATGAAACCATATTTTATGTTATGTTTTTTACTGGTATTTCTGTGAAAAAAGTCTAAAAATATAATGGTTGCATAGAATGAAGGAGGCTGAACATACAAATGCTTACCTTTCACAGTCTGGTGATGTTTTAGTTGGTAGAAGACTTCTATGAAATCTGAAACATATAATGTTGCTTTTTTTTTTCAGTCTTAATAGTAGACTTTTGCCATCAGTATAGTTACCTCATAATAGAGTACAATCAAAATAACAAATCTTTGGGATTCCCCCAGCTAATCCTGGGGTACAAACAAACTTTTTACAGCTACAATTTGGTAAATATATCAAAAGTAAGGTCAATATATTGATCACGGCACATTCCATTTTACTGCTTTTACATGTACCTAATATAATTATAAATCTTCTGTTTTATAATATCAGATATCATGGGGGCAATCACATGACTTTGTGTCTCAGAAATCACCATTACTTGTTTGTATTTCTATACAAAGTCACGTGGTCACCCCCGGATATATGCAATATTAAATATTTGTTTAAAACAAACCAATAACTTTTACTGCTATCATCATTGCATGTTATATGTAAGCTTTACCAAGACTTTGGGTACCCGTACTTAAACATTAAGATATCTAGCAAATGTTCCAAATATATTTTAAATATTTTTCTCATGTAGGAAGAATAATTCTAAGTTCGCATTGTGGAACAAATTTAAGCTTTAAGATCTTCAAACTTTACCTTTTTGGTTCTTCAATGTACTCCTGGAAGCCTTCAATAAACTCTTCAATGCCCTGTAATGTGACAAACTTATCTGCTGTACAATCTATTGTCCACTGTATTATTTATTTATCAGTTTAACTGAAGGCAACATCAATGAATTATTCTGATTTTAATTTAATGGATATTCAAGGGCTTTTTTCCTTCTATAGCAGGAGCCCTTTTAATGGTGGCTTCACAAAAGAAAAATTCTTTAAAAGCATGCAGTTCCGCCCCCCCCCCCCCCCCCCCCCCAAAATTGAATTGACATCAAGTTTTGCTTCCCCTTAGATGACAAATTTATGTAAGATATTTGGCATGGTAAGGGTTAATATGTTTAATATATATAGGATATTGAATGAGTGTAGGTTTAATACTAAATTTATTAAACGAGTTGAATAAAATCATATTATGCGAGTCTTTGGCAAGCATAATATTGTTTTATTCAACGGGTTCAATAAATTTAGTATTGAATCTACACGAATATAATATTCTATTTATCACATATATAAAATAAGAACGGTAAACTGTTAACAAGAGTCATTTTTTCTTTGACGCGCCTATAGTGTAACACTAACATCAGCGAGTGATGCTTTAAAGCTATGTTTATAGCGCAAATGACGTGACGTCAATGTGTTATTACACTAGTGTAATATCGTCTAGTGTAATATCGTTTTTATTAAATGGCTTTATTACACTCTTGCGCCACGGTTTATGTGATAAATGGTAAATCTATAATAAAATCTCTGGTTTCTTTGGCAACAATGCTTGGCTTATGGAATTTATCTGAATTTTTACATAACATATCAAAAATATAATGTCATGTACATGGGCAGGTTAGTGTAAAAGTAGTCTATGAATACAGGTGGCTTTATGACTTATTTTGCTACCAAGGACTTAGATCATTGGTGAGATAGAGAAATAATTCTCCATCAAATATTATCAACCAACTATTTAATTACATAAGATTCATAACAAAGAAGTACTTCTCTTACATTTCCACTTTTACCCCGTAACTCTTTTAACAGATTTTTCTGGAATACAGCTTGATCCATTCCTGCAAAACAGATGAAAAAATAATCAGTATTTTCCTACAGCCAAACTTAATTTTATAACCCAGGCATTCTTCACACCATATCCACCACACTATATACCTAGCATTTTAGTGTCATATTCTGATGTAATTCAGCCTGTTCTTGGGTGCAAATTTCAGATCAAATCTAAATATTTATAACTCTCGTTTCAGAATCAATCCGATATTTCTTTTTCTATTT